AAATGATAAATTACAATGACCCTCTCTCATCACTCAGACCAATAACAAGTGGAGTCATTCAGGAAGTGTATTAGGTTCACTGTTGTTTCTTATGTATATAAACGATATACACAACACCATAAAATTTGAGAGACCATACTTATAGTGTAAAGCTTTAAGTCTGAAGCGCTAAGTGAAAGTGTATCCCAGGTTCAAAGTGACCTCAATAACCTAACCATCTGGAGCGAAAAATGGCAATTGTCACTTAACCTCAAAACGTGTGAGATCAGGCATTTTGGAGAACATTTCTACGAACTACAACTTTAATCGAATAAAAGTAGAGTTCAAACACTCCAATCAGTGCAGGATTTAGGTATTAATTACACAGGAAGTTTAAAATTTGAAGAACATGTCTCCTTTATCATTTCTAAATCTCAACGACTAATTGGATTCACAGTGAAAAGTTTCTTCACAACGGAGGCTAAGCTTACCTTTTACAAAATATGTATACGACCCTCCCTCGAATATTTCTTGTTTATCTTCTCAAACATGAATACCATAGACAGGATAAGAGCAGAAGATGTTCAATGACGCTTCACACACCGACTACTAGGATGTGACTCTGTAACAGCTTAGATTGATTGGCTAGGCGTTGACTTCAAACAACTAAGCATATGTCAAAAGAGTAGAGTTCAGGTATTCATTCAATTCCCTACTTTGTATAGGCGTTATGTTTCTTATTATCTTATATTGAGAGGCTTTGTTCGTCTGAAAAGATAATCCCACGGCTTCACTGTGACTGCGCGAAGATCTCAATTAAGACCTATTCACTACTTGTCTGGTTTCTTCTATCATTAGCACGAGGGTTACCTACAGGCACGAAAACCCCACACTCAACTACACAGATGGATGTAGACACCTCTCCTTAGAACCTTTATGGCACCGTCGGCTGAGAAACTCACATTCCTAACCTCCTGTCCAACCATGATCCATTACCGAGTCTACAGACTCAGAAACAACACATATACACTGCTTAAAATAAAACATCGAAAACTGATGCATTGCAGGTTTTTCAAGGGCGGTATAGTTTATTATGGAATAAGTTGCCACCACCTATCCGTAACTGTGACACTATCACCAAGCTCAAAATACTAATAACTCTATCACTTGACACTGAAGAGCTTGATCAACTATTCCCTGAACTTCCACCGACCAATGAGGCACTTTATGATGAACCGCCTAATTTCTAGACCGATCATGAGTATAACGGACACAAATCGTCATTAATATGAATACAGCCAAATAATGGTTCACATGGTTTACCCTCTCCCATTATTCATTGCTTATTAGTTGTGCCCACTCCGCACTTTCAGATTCCGAATCGCTTTAATGGTTAGAATTCCATTATTCTTCCTAAGAGTCATAAACTTTTTCCACTGCATGTGGACAGATAACTCACTAAGCTCATGGATGCTGATAAACTAAAGGAGATCGTGAGGAGCTCATAATGTCTTAAATTCTTGTGACCAGCCCACTGTTTTGTTTCATCACCCTGAAAGTTTCACAATTCTAAACCCTTGCAAATTCTTTAATTCGCTATCTATTCTTACCATCTGTAAAGCACATATAATCTGACTCGTGTTTCATAACTTATACCACTAGTTATCTTGATAGCAGTGTGATGTACTAAATGGATATCTAATCGACAATACAGAAGCTTCAACCATCTGACTTGCTTGTAATAACGAACTAGTAGAAACAGTATGTTCCAACAAGGAGCTTAGATCAAAGCAATATTCATATACACCACAAACGTAAAAGAGCCAACATCACCAAGGAGGGAAGGTGGCGTTACTGACCAGCAAACATGATAGTGGGAAGATTACTTCAATTCACCCATGTTTGTAGGGCAGAATATGTTATTAAATTGTGGCTCCTTATGATAAAGTGGGATTGTAGTGGGATTGAGTCCTAAAAACAGTCCTCAAAGCTGAAGGGCGGCCTGCTTGAGCATTTGGGCTACCTGTTTCTGCCATCTAGATATTTCAACAAGTTTTCTATTTTTGTTTGTTTTAATGTATCATTATGTTTATTAATCGCATAACCTATTCTGCTGCGTTTCTGAAAAGTGTACAACCTTTCGTTTTCAAAGTTACAAAAAACTCAATAAGAGGCAATGTGGTTGCTGGCAATATACAGCGAAAATAATGCACATTATTCAGACGTTCATTTACTGGACTGTTAACATCTAACTGGCGATCACTCAATATTTATCGCCAGGACCGACCAAGAAGAAAGAAACTGAAACTTGTTGAAATACTTTACGCTGAAAATTCTATATTGTACCAAAAATGTAATATTGAATAAAACTAATAATAATAATAATCATGAGATAACTGGGAAAACAGACTATCAACACGTAACACAGAGAAGGTCAATAATTCATTCAAAACTGAATTCAATTCAGTTCAGTCGGATGGAGTGGCTCACCCTTGCAGGCGTGGTAATTCTGTATAACTTGATTTATTCGTATTAAATATATTGTTCTATCTCCAACCTAAAGCGCTCTCCGCCATATATTGGTAAGTGTTATGATACGATGAGTTAGTGTAGACAATTATGTTACTCCCACGTAAGATCTTGGAGATGCCACATTATTTGGAGTTTAACAGTGCTTTAAATTAGTAACGCTTTTTACTATAAATCGTACCCATCAAGTGAAATCAAAACACAGAAGCGAAGGGGTTCGAAGATATATTTGATAGGCCATCAAAATATTGAGGACCGAATGATCTAATTTGGCCAGCGATTGCGGAGGATCTTGAGCAGGGTGTTCCCATTAGTAATCTGTTGCGGATGCATGACCGAGCGCCTTCAGCTAGGTGGGTCCATTAAAACTAATGTGGTCAGCAACCAATGCTGAAGACTTACAGAGTCATTTATTTTGGCGATTTATTTACCACTACAATCTTATGGATTAGGTAGCTGTGACATGAAAAATCTACAATTTTACGATTAGCCTATTATTTGAGCAGCACTAAAAACGAATTAGACCATAATTTTACAGGATGTCGCAAACCAAACGTATTGATGCTAATTTATTATGCAAAATACTTCTTTAAATCGTGATAGTGACGTTGAGTTGGTTTCAGTTCCTACCAAGTAGTCCTATTACAATGAAAACAAACAGTTCGTCAGAAAAATCTGCTCATGGCCCTATGAAATCAACAAAAATAAACATGAGTAGAAACAGCTTCAACTAAAGGTGAGATAACCATTTGTGTATCAGAATTATTGCATAGACCAAACCATTATTACAACTGGTCAGTTCACGTTGTCACGCTGGATCTTAACGAACACCGATAATACAGTCACATTCTGCTGACCAATCGTCAAATATTTGTAAGTTTGGCTTGACGAATAGTTTCATCAGGGTTCAGTGGTATAAAATCAACTCACGAATCATTCAAACAGACTACTAGTCACGAAACATTGTGATACGATCATAAAGACTGGCTTAACTGTTGTTAGATATTCATTATCTTTATGATGAGCTTGCCCTTGTGTTTCAGCATCATTTATTTTTTTGAGATCTTCCATGGAGCCCAGTGAAGCCGGTGCTGTTAACTAACTATAATATATTTAGTAATTTGTCAACGTGGACATAGGTCTAAAGATGCCACAAGTATTCGGACTTCGACAGTGCCTTTACAAGGAACACTTTCTATTATCGAAATCTACCAACCCAGTCAAATCAAAAGTAAAAAAACAAGAGGTTCAAAGATATATTTGAAAGGCTATCGATATGTCAGGAAGTGATTAATCTAAGCTGGCTCTAAGTTGTAGGGTAAGTAAAGCACGGCGTACCCTCTCGTGATCTGTTACGGATGCGTAGCTGAGCCCCTTCAGCTAGGTGAGTCCAGTAAAACTAGCGCGGTTAGCATCAGCTGCTGAAGACCTACGGAGGTACTTATTCCTTTACAACTAAAGGTTTACATACATTCAGAGCACTACGTTTGTAACATAACTAGGAAATTCCTGGAACCCGTAACTGCCTGATTTTCTGACAGCGGCTTCTCATATCACATCAAATAATAATAATAAGTGGTGGAAAAGGTGGGATGAATAAGAAGTACAAACAAATGAGCAGAATAGAAATAAATAGTCGCGAATCTAGTCTGTTTATTGAGGAAACAGTAATAAAAAGTATGTGTAAATAGAAAAGCAGTCGGTAAAATTTCCTTCGCAGTTAGTTTTCTGTTCTATCCCATAGAAATATTATTACTTGGCTAGTATTCCCATATGTAGTTTACTGAAGAAATCGTTTGATTTTTTGAGCTTTTCTAGGGGTAAAGAATCCAATTTCTTGGGATATCAAATGAGCATTTCTTTCTCTAAGTGAAATTCTGGGAGAGTTCCTTCTTGGTTTAGTGTAGTGACAGTTACGCAAGATCAACCCGTGAGTATAGGGTGGGCTATAGATGAATACTTTAAATACAGACTTACATTTGCCATCAAATAAACTAAACTACGCAAGACACCCGATATCGCCAAAAGGCGTAAATGTACATCCGCCAGATATCCTTTTTTGTTACCAGGCAAAGTGGTTATACCTCAGAATATTTATAAATGATCCTAGCGTGTGGTCAGATTCAACGCACTGTATAATAATGTAATGTTGACTGTATATGTTTACTTACAGTGTCGCCCCAGAATGCTTTCGGTCGGATAACCTAATATTACAGAATAAAAAGAATTTTACCTGCCTGAGACTCATCTTCTGTAACTTTAGTTACAACAAACAGCTTATCTGACACAGGTAAAAAATAAAACCACAGTGACTTACAGCTTTACATTTTGAAAAAACTACAAAATTTCAATGATTACATGTTGAAAATCGAGAAATTTAAAACAACGAGTTAACTATTTGCAATTTCTGGAAATTAATATTTTCACCTTGAGTTAACTGATCACACAGAGAGAAAGATCAAGCGAAACATACCTGGTTACGCGGTTCATGTGACTAGTTAAAGGATTGTTTAAAACAGTTAATTTTTTTTACAAAATCAGGCTTATAATGTTTCGTTTTGTTGAAACTCAAGGTCGCGCAATGTAAAAGAGTGGTAAGTGTATCTCGGGCAATTTTTTCTGGTGGGAATCACTCTTCGCAGACTCCTTAGATTGACGTTTGTCAAGCTTAATAAACTAGTGTTCCTCTCTTTCAGATGTTTTTATGTGATCAATAATTAGTCTGTACCTAACTTCTTTTTGCGACTACTAAGAAGGCTCTCCTGTCTTTCTCGGCCTTATAAGGCCGAAATTTCGTCTTCTAGACAGATATCTTGGAACCAAATGCTGCTACAGCAGCCCAGATTATAACCCGTGCTGTCTTCTTGTACATTGTTATCTTCAAGGCATTGTTCCTAATATTTAGCTGTCCCTGGACAGTCTTCATTCACATCTATGGTTTAGTGTAATATATCGCAGTGGCCTCACACCAACCCTAATACACATATTGGTTAACTTGCGGATTCAACTACAGTTGAATTTTAGGGAACTGCTCCAACAGACTTAGGATATCTTCAACAGAAACCGAAAACCCTACGTTTGACGTATATTTGGCAATACATACGCATTACAGAAAACGTTCTTTGTAAAATGAATAAAGTGATATAGTAGATACTTCATTCTTTCAACTTGCCCGCTGCTTCTAATTCTGTTAAAGGAATGTGTCTACTATAGTACCTCTGTGGAGAATGGCGTGGCAAATATAATCAATTTTAATCGAAAGGCCAAACCTTGTAAAAAGTGAGTTGCGTTCAGGAAGTTTTGGGGGCGGAATAGATTTTCTTAGAGAATTAGGTACAAATTACTCTGAGAAACATGTGGAATACTATGATTCGCCGAATTGATGTCGTCTATGAATTTCACACAATCTAGAGGAAAATGTTACTCTAACAATTGATTTTTTGCGATTATATTACAGAAAATATTTCTGTTCCATAGAATTTGACTACATATCTGTTAGTTCATTATTTGAACAACTTCTGTTCGATAAGTTTTAAAAGTCAGAGATGACTGGCTATAACCCTACATAATGTACTTAACAGTAAGAGGTGGTAGTTAAAACGGTTTGTTAAAGTAATTATGGATTGCGATTGTTATTCTGGGCGATACTGAGAATTCAATTCCTCCATCTGCTTTATGGCGAGCAGCAAATGAAAGTAGAACATCAAGGTCGATCTTTGGCTCCAGTATCCTGCAGGAACGAATGGCGTATGAACCAATTGTTGGTCACCGGCTACCATGGGACTGCATCTCCTTACGATGCTTCACTGCCTTGTGGATCAGACCCTCAGGTCGAAGGCTCGGAGTGTGGCCCCCTAAGAAAACCACCTGCTTCGGTTTAGGCACCTGGGCAGTATCACAGCCCTCACACATCGAATGAGATTTGTGTGGCGCATATATATTTGGTGTCTCCTTGTACCAATATCTATGTGTTAAAATAAAATAAAAATACTTGTTTGACATCCATAGTTGATAGTTCATATGATATGAGGGAATTTTTTCGACGAATGCGTTTTCTGTACAACTTGTACAAAGTCAAATTTATGTATCGTCTGAGCTGTATGTTCACTCTCCTATCCTACCTCAGACGTTATACTGGTCCAATATTTTGATAGAGTTCTGCTTTTGGTGTAATAGTGTAGTAGTTTCTACTCGAGAATCAGCTCATAGAGAACATGAGTAACAGAAATCGAGGTAGCTTTTAGGTTAATCTCCACCTCTAACTAATTTATTTGGTATGAAGCAGTTAATCAGACTGCGGTTCAAAAATATACGCTCGTAAAAAATTTAGACCAAATAAATATACGTAGTTACTTAGTTGACTTACGCCTGTTGCCTCTCGCTGGAGAGCGTAGGGTATCCATCGGCATTCTCCATCGAACTCTGTCTTGAGCAGTCCTTTTCAGTTGCTATTCGTCTTTTTAATATCTGCTTCTAATTCTCGGTGCAATGTGTTCTTTGGCCTTACTCTTTCCGTTTCTCCTCAGGATTCCAATTTAGCGATTGTTCCATTATGCAGTTTGAGGATTTCCGCAATGTATGTCCTATCCACTTCCACCGCCTTTTCTTAATTTCCTCTTCAGCTGGAGGTTGGTGTGTTCTCTCACATAGTAGGCTGTTGCTGATGGTATCTGACCAAGGGACATTAAATATCTTGCGTAGAAGACATAATTAGTACATCATTCAAACATTTCTGACGTGGAAAGTCTGGACCCTACTCCAATTTTAAGTCACATTCGGAAACTGACTTTGAAACTACCCACTTTTTTACTGAGGCATTACCTGCTGAATATTGAGAAGGCTTCAGGGCCAGTGTCTCCGCTAGCTTTCATTGCTAAGCTTCATACTTTCTTGGGTTGCGGCGATAAGTCTACTCGAACTTTGCAACATGAGGATGGACGGTACACTTTGAGTGAATCATGACATCTAAATCGTACATGTCCGTATCGAATGCGGTAGTTTTTACCGTTTCTTTTTTACATACATGTAATACATAGTGTTGAATAAAATCCACTTTGTTGAGTCTTTTACTCATATGTTACCTAGCCTTATTTCAGGTTCATTAGTATTCCATAAAATATGCGTAGGAACAAAAATTGATACTGATTTACAGTTATTATCCAGCTATCGGCCAGTGATAAAGGCAGTGCTACTCGTAAAAATCATATAATAAAGGAAACTGTTTTCGTGATTGGTAATTTCGTGTTTGTTTAGTCTAACTTTCATTAAACCAAGTTATTTTTTATTTTAGCATTTTGGTCTCAGCAGTCCGTTTCTCCGGACCAGTCATCATGGTATGATCCTATTGAGTAAATCAAATTCATTATGATTTAGGATCATTTTATCATTGGCAAAGAATTATCTGCACATTCTGATGTTTCTTACGAAACTAAATTAAAAAAGTGTAAACGTAAATGTTTGTTCGAACCCATTTCAGAAAATGAAATTGATAAAGCTTATGCAGAGTTACTGTCAGGTCTATCTCAAGAGTTCGCCCGTGCTTCAGCACGCTTATCCAAAGGCGTAATCGAAAACGGTCGAGTTCGTCTTTCACAAATATGTGGGAAGTATTTCCGTATAATGGGTTTCTCTCTTGATGGCTCATCTTATCTTCATCCAGAAGAAGCATTATACCTTGCTGAATGTAATAAAATCCAAGTATATGTTAGTGGTTTACCACTGAGTATTCAAGAACTTTACGATCAGCTTTTAAACAATGAGACATATCCATACTATCTGGCCTACTCTCGATTATCACGATTAAATTTCAGTCTTCGAAAACGAGCAAGTTTTGACCTACAATCATATTACCACTGTGTGACAGATAAATTATTTAAAATTCCAAAATCAATTAACGTTTCAATTACAACCTATCCACTTTTAAACCAAGAATATAGAAAACCTATCGGAAAGAGAAAGTTCATAGACTTTCAACCACTTATTAATCATAATACAATACATTCTATCACCGGTCTTATGCATAATTTACAGGAGATTGTACAACCTGCCAGTGATAAGTCTGTTAAGTCAACTAAGGATTTAAATCTACTCTATGATATTTATGGAAACAATCATACAGAGAAAAGACGTATTATTAACTTCTCTAAACGCTACCCTCCTCATCCTGATTATGTTTTATCTGTTTTGTCACCAAAACAAATATACCCAGACATAGAATCTAAAAGTTTGATAAAAGTTGGTCTACAACCAGATACATCTGTTCTTATATGCATGGTAGATGGATGTGATGTTTCATTCTATATAACAAACTGTTTTGCGATTCCAAATATTAATTTTCAAGTAACTCGTCAAGAAAATATGGCGTGGATTTAGACTAAATAAAGGATTATTTGTGTACACTTGCTTTTTTCATACAATAAACTCAAGTCAATCACTTCAAAATCTTGTCGTTATGGGTTTTACCAGTTTCATGTTCATTTTATCCAGTGAATAAGCGATGGGTTCACCTTTAGATCCTATTCTTATTCAGCTTTTTTCTCGTGAAACTAAAAATCAGACCTCTCAAGGAAGTGATTGATAAGCTTAACTTTTGTTGTCGTTGGATTGATAACAGCTTCATTATCGTTGATCAGATTATCAGAAAAAATCTTTTATGCGTTCAACTAGCACGAAACATAAATCCAGAGTTTGCAGCTGACTACCACCAACCACTTAAAATCAGAAAGTAGTGCACATGTCAAGTCATTGGATTGGTGGTTACATTTAAACTTAGTCGATAGTTTTATTGTCACAAGACTAGATAAGCGTTTTTTCTGGTTAGTGATTTTTAGCAAAGATACTTCACATTGTCTTCAGCAAGAATCGGGATGAAGAACAAGTACCAACATATTGAAAGGAAAGACACGTCAAGATATCAAAGGCGATCTCAGCACGTGTGAGAACTGCAGGGGCATCACTCTTCTCAATACCAGAAAAATTGTTCAACAGGGTGTTGTTAAACAATGAAGGACTCCACAGACGCCCAGCTTCGAGATCAACAGGCTGGATGTCGTAAGGATCGATCGTGTACAAAACAAATCGCAACACTACGGATCATTGTGGAATAATCAATTGAATGGAATTCATCGCTCTATATCAACTTCATTGACTACAAGAAAGCATTTGATGGCGTCGACAGGACAACACTATGGAAGCTTCTTCGACACTACGGCGTGTCTGAGATAGTCAACATCATACGGAATTATGGTGATGGATTAAACTGCAAAATCGTGCATGGAGGACAATTGACAGACTCGTTCGAGGTAAATACCAGTGTCAGGCAAGGTTGCTTACTTTCACCCTTTCTCTTTCTCCCGGTGATCGACTACATAATGAAGACGTCAACATATGGGGGAGGGAGTATGGGACACAATGGATAGCTAGGATGCAGCTGAACGATCTAGACTTCACAGATGATCTGGCCCTCCTATCGCACGTGCAACAACAAATACAGGAGAAGACGATCAGTGTAGCAGCAGCCTCAGCAGAAGTAGGTCTCAACATACACAAAGGAAAAAGTAAGATTCTCCGATACAACACAGCATGGAACAATCGAATCGCACTTGATGGAGAAACTTTGGAAGATGTAAAAGCCTTTGCATATCTGGGCAGCATCATTAACGAACACGGTGGATCTGATGCAGATTTGAAGGAGCGGACCGGCGAAGCAAGAGCAGCATATTTACAATTGAAGAACATCTGGAACTCAAAACAACTGTCAACCAACACCAAGGTCAGAATTTTCAATACAAAAGTCGAGACAATTCTACTGTATGGGGCGGAAACCTGCAGAACTACGAAAGACATCATTCAGAAGACACAAGCGTTTATTTACAGTTGTTTACACAAAATACTTCGGATCCGTTGGTCAGACACTATCAGCAACTACCTACTATGGGAGAGAACAGACTAGACCCCAGTGGAGGAAGAAGCGCTGGAAGTGGATAGGATACACATTGAGGAAATCACCCAAATGCATCACAAGGCAAGCTCTCACATGGGACCTACAGGGCCAAACGAGGAGAGGAAGACGAAAGAACACATTACACCGAGAAATGGAGACAGACATGAGAAGAATGAACAACAAATGGATAGAACTAAGAAGGAAGGAAGGCCCAAGACAGTAGGTTGGAAAATACTGGTCGGCGGCCTATGCTCCACTGGGAGTAACAGGCGTAAGTAAGTAAAGACTGGATAAACGTTCCATTGGCCACCACTCAGTGTCAGGCCAGTGTAGATCCAATAATAACAGACTCATCTCTTTGCGCTTATCTACAAGTGTACAAAACGTGTATACGTTTATCCGAAGATTGACGAGATTATCCAACTTCCGAAGCGAGCTGGTTTAGGATCCACTAAGTGGACTTCAACATGCCTAGATCACTTGAATGCGTTTTCACATAAGAATATATACCAAAATAGAAAAGCTGTTATTTATTCAACAGTTTATATTTGAAAAAGGATAAAAGATCATTAAATTCAAAAAAAAAATAGAAATAAATATTACATCACCAAGTAAATATTGCGGTAAATTAAGCTGATAATAAGTTAAAAATAAGTAGTAGAAAACCATATTTCATATAAAGAATGTTTTAAAAAAATGAAATATTGCTTATTTGGTCAGTTGCATTTATCAGATCAAAATGACATGAAGTAAAGTACGTCAAGGTTAATGAATTCTTCATACAAATTCTGTTGTGAGGTTTTTATATATTAGAAGGTGATTGTTGACGTTGATGTTCACGCATTGATTCACGTTCAAGTATCTAACATGATAGTAAAGCAAAACAAAAACATATAATTTGATACTAAATTCATTCTAATATGATGTTATGCTCTTGAACTGGACTTAATTACCAAAACTGCGCTAATGATATAATTCATCTGTTCAGACTGAAGTGAAATGAAATTCTCAACTAGGTATTTGGAAAATGTTAGTTTAGATTCGACTGACTCACATTTAATTATACATAGTTCTTTTGTAATCAGTTTACCTCCTGAACTAGCTTTACCGTTAATACTTGAAGAGTATATGTCAAGAATCTCAAACATTCCGATGCAGCTTAACAATTGGATATTGTGCGTTATTTGACTTCAGATTGAGGAGCGATAAGCTGAAGGATAATTTTTGTTAATTCTCATTATTTTAAACAATCATACTGTGTTAATAACCAATTTCACAATGGATCAGTAAACATCTATTCAACTAAATTCATTAAAACTAATTAAGAACTATTATTATTTCTAAAAGCTAAGTCCTAACTTAAAAATGTTCATAGAATTCGATAAGTCTCGTTTTGATTTGTTGTCGGTAAATTGTAAGATTGAAGTAGAAATATCCATTGAATTCTGAGTACTTAATCGATGCTATGTGGGAATTCAGTTTGATTTAAAAATGACTTTTCATATTGGATAAGTTTAAATTGATAGGGTTAAAATTATCTATAAAATACAAGATACCCAATATAGTCAGCAGAAAATGCATTACTAAATATTGTATTGGATTCAGTATTCAAGACTTGAGGAAATTCAATCTTTTTGAATAAGTACGCATCACTTTCTGTCCGTGTGTAGATTTGCATAATTTCGAAAAAGATTCTATTTATAGTCCTTAAAATTGTATGGTTTGTAGATAGAATTGTTCTGTTACACCAACCAGGTTACAATCATACAGTTTTTATTTTCATAATGAAATAGGATTATTAATATTTTTAGGTTAGCTGAAATAAGAATAAAATATCCTACAGAACGTTTTCTACTAGACAGCAATAGTTTAATAAAGAATTAACCGTAAAGCGTGCTTGATTGCTAGTATTATTTGTTATTAAAAAGTTTTAGAACTCAGTTGTTGTTGGGATGTATTTGCATGGTATATTCCCAAGTTCAAAAAGTCATGGGCACTCATGAAACCTGAAATCGAATTGTATAGTGTTATAAGCGGAATAGTTACAGGGAATGCCTTTCCGTTCGTAATTCAATTTAAGTAAGCTTGAATTATACAGAAATAAGTTTGAGTAGACGAATCTAAAGAGCAATTATAGTATAAATGAACGCATCAATAAACTAACAACACAATTAACGAAGTAAATTACCTTAAGGGCTTCTCGTCTACGATGCTCTAATTTAGCTATCTGAAGTACAACAGAAGTAGGCGTATGCGGAACAAGTGCACTGATCGCAGCACGTGTTATGATTATTGCATGCTAGTAGGAAGAGGAGAGAATGATCGATAAATTATTACTGTATATTATCTGGTAGCTTGTTATCCTGTAAAAAAAACTCACATACTTGAAAAAATAGACATAAAAATTATGGATAAGTGTCCTTCCAACAATTCACAACATTACGTTGCAGTGTTTCACAAAACAACATTTATACTTGATTCACCCATCAACTGATTGATTTCAGTCACAGGCTAATAAGATAGTGGATCATTCGTAAACTACTAGTTGAATGATCTACAAAATTAAACGTACTTAGTTAAAATTCTAATTACAACAAAGAAATAAAAATTGTCCACTGTTGTACTAATTTTACAGCATCTAGTACTTCATCATACTCTAAATGGATTATTCTGACTTTGTAAGAGATGAATTAATTTATCCTTTTTGAGCCAATATCTGCACATATTTTGACCATGTTAGTTATTGGCTTACAATCTATTATCAGTATGGGGGTTGTGGAGATTGTTGAGTTTTTGGTTGAGATCATGAATCTCAACCAAAAACTCTTACAATCTATTGTTTTTATATGAACGTATATGTATGTAAAACAGAATAATCCAATGTAGGTGTGACAAAGTACCAGACGCTATAATTTCACTCATAGGTTGCTATTGTTAACATGGACAATTACTGCAATAAATGTTTGTTTTGTTTCCAGTATCATAATTTTAAACTTGTTAGGGTTTTGTATATTCAGCCATCCTGATGTAATATCTGCATTTGTACAGTGTTCAAATAAAACATAAAGAACGTTTGCCAGTGTTTATATTGTACTGTTACTAATATGATAACAAAATGGAGGCCTGCTTCAATATTTGGGGTATTTGTTCCTGCCATCTAGATATTTCAACAAGTTATCTGTTTCATTGTTTATTTTAACAGATCATTATATCAACTAATTGCAAAACTTATTCAGGTTCATTTGTGAAAAGTTTACGACCTTTCTCGGTACAAGTTACAAAGATGTACAATCGGAAATATCGTGATTGTTGGTAATATGGATTGAAAAGAATGAACATTATTCAGATGTCGATTTCTGTAATGCTAACATCTAACTGGCGATCGCTCAATATTTATCATCAATATCGATCAACAAATAAGAAACGGAAACTCATTGAAATATTATGTGCTGAGAATTCTATATTTTACCAAAATATAATATTGAATAAGGCTAATAATAATAATAATAATAATAATAATAATAATAATAATAATAATAATAATAATAATAATAATAATAATAATAATAATAATAATAATAATAATAATAATGATAATATGCTAATTTGTTCTTCATTCACAATCTCAACAGTGTAATCTAAGATAGTATAATGCTGTCAACAAATCTTTTCGACTTATTTCACATAATAAATCACTTCAAATATTACACTATAAGTGCTTATTGATTCAATATACAACAATGTGTTCAATTACCAGCAAAAAAAGGCATTGGAAATAAATAAAAAAGTAACACAGATGTAATTTTAGTTAATTACAAAACATATTTTAAAAGAAAACATTTAATAACAATAACATAAACTGCATATTGAATTTATTGCTCAACTTACTTCAATCAGAACAAGAAAAATAATCAACTGTGAAGCAGATAAATTAGGAAGCAGACGTTGTATAGTTCCAGATATGCCAAGTAAAGCAATATTCACAATGACAGCTATATAGCTGACAACATCTAATGCTAACTATTTGAAATATAAAGTAAAAGAAAATAGCCATATACTACTGAGAAAAGTAATAATAAACACTCAATTTGTTGAAATAACATGTTGTGTCTTGTTATTAGGGTTCAATACGATCTACGATGTTACAGATTTATGAACGAAGACGATTGGGCTTCACTAATACGATCAGTTCTCTTCGGAACAGACAACAGTCAATTATGCTCAACACGTCAAATCACAGCTAAGATAGGAAGAAGATGAAATCGCAGGTAGCTTGATATTTGTGGTAGAACAAGAGACTCAAACGAAATCGGTACAAAAGTTGTTACTATAATAGCGAAATACGACCTTCGAGCATATAGCAATTCAGCGAACTAAAAAACGCGACAACCAATCGGATGGCAAAGGTCATGCGGAAAATCGAATCGGTAGAAAGTATGCCAGTGGTTATCGTTCCAGAAGAGATCTTAGCCTTTCTAATAAAATCTATCTACTCTGGCGACCGCCTTAACATAATAGTATAAATAAAATGTATAGTAATGATTATGAATGATAAACGTAATTTATTCATTATTTGTACAAGTTGATATTACTCAATTTCGAACTACATAATGTTGTATATGATAGCTAGTGGCTTCCTCAACCAAAGTAGGTGTATCGTGGTTTCAACCTAAAACGTTGTGGTTGATAGTTAAGCGATTTAACCACTAAGCCATTGTTCTGCACAATTCACATTGCAATAACAAAATTCCTTAATTGCCTAGATAGAGGAAACCTATAATATGAACGTTAATGATGGTAACCAGAAAAAGGATATAAATAAACAGAGAATATAGATGTTGAATCAAAATAACAAAATAAATACGATAATGATAAAAGGATGATTAACCATTTTGGGTTTTATGATGTTAATGACAAGAGACTAGCAAATATATACTATCCTGTTAAGTGTCCATTTGGCAATTTGGGTGGATGTATACATGTACCAGGTTCTACAACTGACTGATTGGTGAGTTACTCAATAGATGACAGTGAAAGTGAAGTGCAAGACCATAGAAGTAATCTTGAGATGATAATAAATATCATAATCTACTACTGAATTCCGTAAATATCTTACTGACAAATAAGTGATATGTGATATATTATGGTTGATGTTAGACACTAACACCATTGGATGCCGGCTCAATGGTCTAATGGTTAAGTGCTCAGTCACGAAGCCAGTAGGTCCTGGGTTCGAATCCCGCTCGCGGGATCGTGGATGCGCACTACTGAGGAGTCCCACACTAGGACGAAACGGCCGTCCAGTGCTCCCAGGTTTCCAACGGTGGTCTAACATCAATTGATTATGATCTCAACCAAAAACTTAACAATCTCCACAACCCCCGTACTGATATATAAATTAGTTGATTAAAAATATAATTACAATAAATAGTATTAGATGGTAAGATGTTTGAAATTGATAAGATAAAATACATTAACCAACGAATATAGAATAGACAGATATTAACTACTAAATCTCTAAATTGTATTAAATCTTAGTAAAATGAATACCATACTACAAAAAAGAAAACGAACAATACTTACTTGCCAAATACCAATACTATTTGCAACTTGACCAAATGGACGTTGATAACTAGTTGATAATTTATATGCATCACCTCGTATTTCAATTATATTATTCATAAAAGCCAATAAACCGGCTAATGGAAATATGCCAGTAAACATACTTACATAACCGAATTGAATAAACATTTCTAAGAAATCATCGGTTGGATCTTCATACTATGTGTAAATTGAAAGAAATCAACAGAGAGAAAAGAAAAACTTGAAGGAAAGACTCTTAGAAATATATGAGATTTTCAGTAGTGTCATCTAAAAAAAATTGGACATTTAAAATGATATTAGTTGAATTTTTACCAGTAAATGTAAATAGTAAAGATTATTGAATTCATTAGTCAAATGTGGGATCCCATTTTCAATTTTGAATAGTATGTTTTGTGTATTTAAGAGTTAGTTATACTTTCTAAAACCTTAAAACAATATTGATGGAGTCGATGTCATATTCCGATAAGAATAACGAATGGTAACTTTTGGGATCCATTATGGACCAATACTATGAGTATATTTTTATCGTATGATTGTTATGTAACTAAACTGTTCATATTCAGGTCGCTCTTATTATAAGCTTTAATTTGACCCATAGACTATTACTATACGATTTAGCATTCTTGAGTTATAGCTTGTCTATTAATTACTATCTCCCTCATTCACAGCCACTTTTGGCCAAATATTGTACAAGTGTTGTTTCATATATTATGGTACGTTGTGGTCTGTTTGATTGGTATATAAACCCCGTATTGTTTCAAAACAAATGATTCATATTGCGGAGGCTGAGATTGGTGTTCTGGGCTTAGCTGGCTGGGCTAGACAGGAAGCGAGACCAATCAAGACTCTAGGCTGCTCGCACGTGTTTTATTCGTCATTGGTTCGATCGATAATTCGCTGTCCTCTGATTAGCGGTATCGTTGCATTTTACAATAAACAGGGCACACAGGTTAAAACAGTCGAGTTATTAAAAAAAAAGTCACCTAGTGATTTTGAATCAAGTGACTAAAAGATTAGTCTATCACTCGAAATCTATCAGCTTTATATTCATTACCAAATTCTAAAATAAACGTTTATAAGTTTGTATTGACAAATTTCGGGAAAAAATATTCATAATACTTATTCAATTACATTAAATGACCAATATGTAACTAATTAAAAAATATAGATAGTATATCGTTTAAAACAAAATCACATAACAAACCTTTGACACAACATACAACTATATACAATAGTGTTCAGCTTGTAATTTGATGATCTAAGCGTTAGACTGTTAATTAATAAGTCGGAACTTCAGATCTCACTATGTCTAATACAACAAAACTGATTGTGACTGGAGAATAAATTCACTGATGGAATTTAGTTTTTGTATAGATGAATATAGCCTATTTCAATTCGATAATTTACTGGATATTATTTGAATTAGAAGATAAACGAGTGGCATAAGTTGCATTTTTTAAAAACAACCCCAAGATAGCTATATATATATATATATATATATATATATATATATATATATATATATGATGAGATATATTTCTAGAATTTTGGTCTATGTTACTGTGACGACGGACCACGAATGAACTCGAGGAAGCTGTAGGAGGCTCAGAAGGAACCGGAGATAATCCATCCAATCACCTTTTGGAAGTATATTCTAGAATTCCTACGTGTAGCTTCCCGATTGGACAATGTTAATAACCCCCTGTATGTGGATTGGTGGACTGTAATGATGATTTCGTTCTTACTAAAAACTATAAACACCTGACAATTATGTACTATAATTGACACTGTCTGGGAATGATATTCCTTTCATTAGTCTTCTGTCTTCTCATTGTGACTTGGAAGGATTCTGGAATTCTAGTGCTCACGTTAAACGCGATATATCAAGAACAACCTTTTAGATATAACAGTTACAGAGTACTGACAAAGAACAATCACTCTGTCAAAATTCAAACATTGACTATGGATTGATAGGTAAGTGTTAATTGTTTACAAATTGATATTTATTACTTACACGTAACAACGTAGCTTCTCTCTCAGCGGGTGTTATTCGTGTTTCTTCTGAATTATCTTCACATGGAAAGTTAAATAAATTATGTTTAGAAGATACATAAATAGATAATACTGAATATGTTATATATATTATCATTACTTTTACAAGCTATTTCTTTATAGTTTCCTTTCATCTTGTAATAATACATGTCAGTTTGACACTAATACTGAAGATTTATATAATTCATAATAGATTTATCTTGTAGATCGTAACAGAATATAACGATCTGATCCATAAAAAAAATGGGTGTGAGGAGTTCTGATTATGTTGCCTCTTTTAAACTGTTCAGCTCAATTGTTCACTGATTCTTCTTTTTTCCGATAAGCTAGTTTACATTTCCAAAATATTTTACATGAATGTTTGTCAATATTTGAAGAAACAGTCTAACAGAAATTAAGTGCTGAGAATATAGAAGATACAATATAGAAAAATATTTGGTTGAGATAATCTCAGGAATTGAAATAATTCAAATGTTTCGCTCAGCAAGTTTGTGTAAACTTCTTCAGGGTAGGAATTTGACTATTTTTACATAGAATATTTCAGATCTATGTTTTGCATTTAGTGAATTCCTTATCAAGAAACGCTACAGTTAAAGATCACTTTATTATTCTGATTAAATTTGTAACTGTAGCAACGAAGTGTGAGTAACCTTTATATAACACTTTGTACTTGTTGAACTGTAATCAAAACCAAACTTTGTCAATGGTTTTGAAGTTATAAGGCTTTTGCATATCACCAGTACTTGGTATTGATGTTCTAGAATTCACAGAACAGATTATATGTTTTGTAATAAACTTCAACTCGGTATTCATCCTTTTACATTTGACAAAGAATATCATAAAAATACACTAATTTACGATTTAAAATAACACGTTTAGAAATTTACTAGTACATAGAATGAAACACGACAATCTTACCAAAAGATTTTGAATTATTGTTTAACTTATTTTTTTCAGTGACACTTTGGATTCGTTGATGGATAAGGATTTCTGAATTCACATCAACATCCATGCTGGTTATGTTATTATCAGCAAGTTGACTTTTATTTTCAGGCAATATTGAACATTTATCAACATCTGAATCTGTTTTACTGGGTTGTGCTAATGATAACGATGATGATGAAAGGTTGAATGTTGATAATGAATCATTATTATCTTCAGATTTTAACTTATTACGTTCAGCTAAGCATCTCTGTTCATATTTTAATGATAACCATACTTGTCGTAAACGTGAGTGACCAAGTGGTAAAAAAATTTCTCTGATTGAATCAATTATTTGCCGAGTAAGTAGTAATGTTACAAGTTGCTGAATATATTCGGAAGAAAAACGCAAGAAAAAAGAGAATAATTATAACAAAAATAAATTAAGTATATATATATATATATATATATATATATATTTCGAAATCATGAATTCCAGTAAATCAATTATTCTTCTATACATAAAACGGTTTAAACTTACTGATCATTTTTTAGTAAGCAGCTTCATGTGGTCAGTTTGTTAGAATCAATTGAACCCTGCTGATACAATGTAATCACTAGTATAATTTATTTAACATCATGATACACTTTCTTTAATAATTCGGAACGTGGAGGCGAGTCATATTTAAAATAACCCATTGATAACATTTTCGACATTAAAACTTCGTGACTAAGGTACAAACCTAACAAAGAATTAGTTTCTTCAAAATTTCTGGCTTTCTACAGGTAACCCACAACCATTTAACAAATTTGGCTATCTCATTAAAATTAAAGTACACAAATTAACTAGTGAAATGGACTGAGCATTGAATATACTCGAGAATTTAAAGCAGTTCTAGCTAATAAAAACAAAATTCATTGAATAACATCGAGAAGACTACTTATTTGATAATCCTTTCATAGCTACGTCGTCGAAGTTACACAATTTAATAACTGTTCAATATTATAATTTATTTTATAGTTTTATTTGTCAATGAACAGATAATTTCTCCATATTTAAAATATACCAAATCAATGGTACATGCAGCATGGGCTAACAAAGGTAAAAATATAGTTCAATAGTTACATCTTTTGATAATAAATTCATAAGATAGCATTAACGGTGCATAGAATTAAAAAACTACCATTAAGTCCTACTTAGATTATGTACCCCAAAATGCCCTGGTACGGCCGAGAGTGGGGAGAGTCCGCTCTCTCTCTCTCTCGAAATGCTCTCACACGGCCTCTCGTACATAGCCTCTGCCAGGGAAGTCCTACTCACTGCCTCCTCGTGGCATTACTTTTGTTTACGAAAATGAGAGGTCGAAAAGCGAATGGCTGGCGCTTTAACCGGATCCCAAACCAATGGTGCACATGCGCTCCAGTATCCTGAAGGAGCAAATGGCGTATGAACCAATTATTGGTCACCGGCTTCCATGGGACTGCATCTCCTTACGACGCTCCACTGCCTTGTGGATCAGACCTTCAGGTCAAAGGCTCGGGGTGTGGCCTTCTAAGAAAACCACCTGCTTCGGTTTGGGCACCTGGGCAGTATCACAGCCCTCACACATATCGAATGAGATTTGTGTGGCGCCTATGTATTCGGTCCCTCCTTGTACCAATATTTATGTGTTAAAATAAATAAATAATTAATTATCATTTACTTTCTACTTAAATGCTCAATTTATTTGAAACTATCAAGTTCAACCTTGGCGTTGATATCGAAAAACTTAAAAAATCAAATGTTTCATATTCTTTGATTAGTTAATCATTGATACACAATATTCATCTCATTGTTTTACAATGAACATTTGGCGGCCTGCTTGAATATCTGGGCTACCTGTTCCTACGATCTATATATTTCAAGTTATCTGTTTCGTTGTTTGTTTTAGCACATCATTATGTCTATTGTGCGCACAATCTATTCAGGCGCGTTTATGAAAAGTTTGCAATCTTTCGCTATACGGGATACAAAAAGATACAATCAGCGACATCATGGTGGCTGGCAATATGCATTGAAATGAATGAACATTAATAAAATGTGGATTACCGAACTCCTAACATCTAACTGGTCATCATTCAAAATCTATCGTCACAATCTATCATGGTATAAGAAAAGGAAACTTGTTGAAATACTTTGTGCTGAGAATTCTATGTTGTACCAAAAATATAATGTTGAATAAAGCTTCTAATAATAATAAATATATATTGGCCTATCTATTGAAGCACAGAATATTGATTATTAATTGATATTAACATCTAAAAAAAAATAAATATCTACCCATAGAATGAATTATCACTAACGTATATACTGACTATGTATCTTATTAAATAAGTGTTTTATTTCCTTTATCTAAATAATCTAATGACGCCAAGAATTTGTAAAACTATTCTTTTTCTTTTCTTTTTGTTTAATGGGAAAAAATCTCCCAAACCAACCGAATAGTTGTACATTGAAGTAAGAAAAACAAACATGATGTGTCGAAAAATGCTAATTGTATTTTGTTATACATGAATGAATACAATGGGAACATATATATAATTGGGAAGAGATTCTAGTTGTGAATCCATTGAAGAAGCACACAAATATATATATAACAAGTAATTATTAAATACATGGCATAAAGTACAACTTAAAAAGAGAAAACAAAAATAGAATAATACTTTTTTTCCTTTTATATACTAAATCAGATGATATAGTAAGTAGTATGTCCATACAAGTATGTTATTAATTTAAATGTTAAATGAAGTAAATGTGAATATTGTCGTAAAGTATTTATTTGTTTAATATAAAATAAGTGTTTTACTGGAATTGATTAAAAAGCTTTTAAAAATATATTCTATGGTTTATTGAAATATCATGTTTTAATGCCTAAATTCTTTATTCATGTAACTAATGGAAATGACCATGTAGGTTATGATGTTATTTAAGTATATAAGTAGACTGTGGTAACCAATGGTTGAAGATACTGGGTGACATAGCTCAGAATTGATTACAATGGAGTACGTGTATACACTCTTTGTCTTCTTTTAAATTATGTTATTTATTTATTATTTTTATTTGAACACATAAATATTGGTACAATAGGGCAGAAATATATATGTGCCACACCATATTTGTGTGTGTGGACTGTGATACTGCCCGGGTGCCCAGACAGAAGCAGGTGGTTTTCTTAGGAGGCCACATCCTGAGCCTTTACCTGAAGGTCTAATCCACAAGGCAGTGGAGCAACGTGAGGAGATACAATCCTATGGTAGCCGGTGACCAACAATTGGTTCATACGCCATTTTTTCCCTCACGATACTGGAGCCCATGTGCACCACTTGTTTGGGATCCGGTTAAGGCGCCGGACATTCGCTTTCCGTCCTCTCATCTTTGTAAACAACAGTAATACCACGAGAAGGCAGTGATCAGTACTTCCTTGGCAGAAGCTGTATACGCGTGACCATGTGAAGGAATTTCGAGAGGGCGGGCGGGCTCACCCCACTCTCGGCTGTACCAGGGCATTTGGGGGCCGTCCAGTGCTTCTAAGCTTTCCATAGTGGTCTAGCTTCAAATGACTCATGATCTTAACCATTGAAATCACTATAATATCTACAAAACCTATCTTAAATTATGAGATTAAAATCGCTTCATATCTTTCTTTCTACCAGATAGTTTTTTTCTTCCTGTAATATATCCTTATATGCAATCTTTCTTTTATTTATTACCACGATTGAATTAACTACTTCTATGAATTCGGTGTTTATTTTGTTGTGCTAATGAGGTATAGCAACTTGGACCGATGGCACATATGTGCCTAGTCCTATGTTGTAGATGACTGACTGACTCAGAGATTTCATTCAATTTTCTTTTAAAGTAATTTCGATGGTGAATATTGGCATTCATTAGAAAAATAACTAGAAATTGAAGAGTTGTGGTATTCGATAGCTTTTCTGTTGTAGTATCGAAACTTTTAAACAGTTAACATTCATAAATTAACAAATAACTAAAAAGAGAAATTTTCAAGTATCATGGAGTACATTTTAATTTAATTTTTATGATAAAGTATGATAAGAATGATCTTGTAAATAGACTTTATCCTAGAGATATTGTGATCCTACTGACTACAGTTGTAGTGTGTGCTACTTATATTGACATAAGCAGTAGAGGATGTTAGTCGTGGACAGAAGGTCTGGCAGCAGAGAGACAAGAGGATCGAACAGTAAAGAATGGAAACAGGATGCAATTCGTATGAAAATGATAGAACAATGAAGTCTGAGTCATTTTGAGACAATTGGTGGACATTTTGCAAATTAGGCATTTATTTTATGATTGTTAGATTTTATTAACAAGTCCTGTAATTTTGTGTTAAATCCATTCGATTGTCCCTACCTGTGTTCTGTTCACTACACAGTATTCTACTTTAAACGATTAGATTGAAGATTGAAACGTGACTTGATTTTTTTTCATAACTACTATCACTATAAAACGTGTGAATTCGAAGATGAGAGTAAGTAAAGTTTTAAGTAATGGGTGAAATAGTTGAACTATATTTTCATAATTGATTGATCATTGAGTAATCATTAATTTCATATTTGCCTAGTTCTTTTGCATTGATCGAATTTTATTGATCAAGTTGAAATGTGGCCGCTTTCCTAATGAACTCAACCTTGAGTATATTATGTTGAGGTGTGTGGTAGTTGGAAATTGTCATCAGGATATCCTAGATCTCTGTTTCTTTCTATTTGGCACTCGTTAGCAAAGTATACGTATGATCTTGATGGAAGTGATGCTATTTGTGGGATCGCAACCACCTAACATCTTAAAGTAGTGAAGATGTTGAAATACGTTGTAGCTTGATCGACAGATTTCGGTCAGTATTAATGGACCATAAAAACATGGCATTGATCACTATACAATGATCAATCGGTTACAAATACTCAGTTCTACAGGTCAATCATGGCCAGAATAGCTCAGTGAGAATTTCCCACACAGTGAAAATGATTTAAGCGGGTTACAAAACGACCATATAGACTTGTAAGTAATAAAGGAGGTAACTGAACTATAATGCCCTTTAATGCAATGAATATTGTTACGAACAAACAGAAAATTGTGGTTGACATTTTCATGGTTTCTCTAAAAAGTAAGTTGTTTCATTACAGAACGAAATATAATTACGTAAATAAGTATACAATGATCATATGCCGACACTCAATGAGAATTCTAAATAAACTAGCAAGTAAACGAACAAAGTAAACAAGAGTCGATTAAACGATTACATATCGCCCAATGTCTCCAACCGTTAGATGTGATAAACACACAGACTTCAAACAGGTAGTTTTCATACACTAATATTACTCAGTTCAATAGTGAATGACTTTATAGACTGATGATATTTCTTGGTTTGGCTGGCACTACTTTTCTTTCAGTCGATTTCCATGTTAACCAACGCCATGGTTTAAAGGGGGCGGTAACTGGCATACATAATACACATGAAAATCACCTCAGTCAACGAAGTTAACTTAGTTCATCAACCAACTTCTAGTCTTTATCTAGTATCCCAATCTCAGTATTTCTTTGTTAATCAATAAAATAAGGACTTCGATTTAGATCAGTCTATTTCAGTTTTATCGATCCGGTACTATTCCTAGCCTTGATACAAATAATGTGACAAAAAGCGTAGTTAGCACGCAAATATATACTATTGATTTCTCTGTTTGAGTCGATTCAATTCAAAACACAGTCATTTTTGTGATGACAGACTTTACTTTGCTTTACACTCTACAAAAATGTAACACATGATTTACACATCATGAATACGATGCCTAACTACATTGTGTTGGAACATAAAAACAACAGTAATAATATAAATTATGCTGTGAGAAATGGAGGATAAGTTTATTGATTTCATTATTTTCGAAACAATTTTCATATGTAATTAAATGTCTATTGGATAGTTCGTTACGTAATTACATTGAATGTTATTTGAAATTAAAGTATTAGTTAGACAGATTATCTACAAAATATATCAGCGATTAGATAGTGTATTTTGATTGGATTCATTTAAATTTATTGTGAATTCAGTGATAATAATATTCAGTATGGGGTTGTGGAGATTACGAAGTTTTTGATTGAGATCGTGAACCGATTGATGCTAGACCACCATTGGAAATCTGGAAGCACTGGACGGCCGTTTCGTCCTATTGTGGACTCCTCAGCAATGCGCATCCACGATCTCACTCGGGGTATCAGTGGTCTAGGTTCATTACGTAAATCACTGTTTTCAATAATATACTAAGCTTTTTATTAAACTGTTATTAATTTAAAAATTGATATTATAAGTACAGAGAATAACTTTAAATCAAATATTACCTTTCTTAATAATTCCAAATCTTTCAGATAAAATGCTGTGTAGAATAGGGAATAAAATGAATTCACAAATTGAAGCTATTATGGGAAAATGAGAGAGAAAAAAAGGAAAAAAGTGCAAAAAATTATCTGAGTATAGGATTGTTTGCGCAAAAATACAATGAGAATGGTAATGTTGCTCGAAAAAGGAAAATAACGACGTATTCAACTCTCTTCCTCCCTCATACACACACACACCTGAAAAAGTCAGTGTGAAACTATTCGCTAACGTTCGTTATTTTCAAGGGTTTTAGATCCTACATATTTTATTGAACATAACCAAGTTATAGAGTGGTTATCATAAATGTCTATTGGATGGTAAACCAGTGCTCAATATTTAAATTAACCAATACAAGGCGTATAAAGTATAAATACCCCTGTTCTGGTGAACAGGAATCCATGTGAATTCAGCAGCAACATGATATGTAACCAATCGAAAATTAATCTATAAATGAATGAATAGACCAATATGAGGATATAAGTTAAATACTACGAACATATTGTTGTACTCGGATTCCAATAATACTGTTTATGCGATGGCTTATTACACTACTTGGTGTCCTAAATCTAAGTAAGCAGATCAGAGTTTGAATCCGCAACCCACAAATTGAAGGCTAATAAGTACATTAATTACTAATTCAACATAAGAAAACTTCAAAATAAATGATAGCCTTAGAAATAGTAAACAAACTATTCAATTATGATAGAATTGACATTTCTGACTAGGTAAAATAACACTTTGAGTTTATTTCCCTTAGAAAACTTACAGACAATACTCTGTATAGTAAGCAAACCATAACTTAACAGAACAGTAAAAAATAAGTCAAGAAAAAATAGAATAAAATTGATTACATTAATCTCAAACTTAACGAGAAGAAAGAGAAAGACCTCAGTCTTTTTATTTACAAACATGATTTACCGATAAAGGACCAAGACATATTTTTAGTGCATATTAATACGTTCTGGACAGTTAAGAATCATAACTTTTTCAAATTTGAAATATTATCATTTTCAATAAAGAAAACACCTTAACAAAAAAATTTATAAATGGTGAAGATTATATTATTAGAAACAAAAATTTATACACACATACAGTAAGAATAACTGTAAATAGTGGGAGATATTTTACAGTGAAACCTGATGGTTACAATGTTTCTTAATTAAATCACAGATTAATTGTTTCTATGACATAACCATATCCCTTTTTTTAGCCAAACAAGTTTATTTATCGCAATATCTATCGATCATCAAATTGATTATCCAATTATATCTTCGTATCGATTAATATTGCCAAAAAAAATATGTAAACACGAGAACAATACCACTAAGCAACAGTTATTATTTGTTAATTCAAAGGTGTATATTATAATTCAGTATCATATAGGATAAAATTATTATCATTTGTAAATCCAAAGATTATGGACTCAGGTTAATCAATGAATTTCTGATACTTACAGGAGCACTGATACAATAAGTTGACAACTAATAAACCAAAATGAATTATAAGTAACTGTTACGACATGTAATTTCCGAAAAGTGATACTGATACGCACTCTTCCTATAGATAAGCTTGAGTGAGGAAAGAAGTTTATTTGGGTTAAACCGGTTCATGTGTAGATGTACTTATTTATATTATATCTTAGCTGTTTACATCTCATCCCTCGCATAAAATATCCCCTCCTTGACCAATTACGTGCATTTATCATTTTGACGATTGCTGTTTAGCTCAGTGTATCAATAACAATACTCTCCTCCTCGAAATAGCAAAGTGGTCAATTAAACTCTTGTACAAAAGATTTCAGTTTATTCATTAGCACAAATTTAGTTGTTAAAAACAATCAAATATCACATAGATCAAGATAGAATTGATCACACTTATAAAACATTGTTCTAAAACATGAATTCATTATGGGATTTATATTAAGTGACTGCTTATTTCATTGAGCAGTAATATTTAAATTAAGATTAAAAATTTAATTACCTACTGTAATTCCAAGTTTATTTTTATATTCTGTAAAATTAACTAGTATTTCGTAGTGTGAATGTGTGAAAGTACATAGTTTGGTTTTCTAGGTGAAACGACAAGTTTGACTATTATTATTATTGTTATTATGAAAAAATATTCATATCTAAGCAATAATTTCTCATTTTATCACATTTTAGAAACATCCCAATTATCTAACTTCATAAGCGATGTACAAGTGGAACTCAAAACAACTTTCAACCATTATCAAAGTGAGAATTTTAAATACGAATGTCAAGGCAGTTCTACTGTACGGAGCTGAAACTTGGAGAACTACAAAAACCATCATCAAGAAGGTGCAAGTATTTATAAATAGTTGTCTACGCAAGATACTCAACATCCATTGGCCGGATACCATCAGCAACAGCCTTCTGTGGGAAAGAACAAACCAGCTTCCAGCTGAAAAGGAAATTAGGAAAAGACGATGGAAATGGATAGGACATACATTACGCAAATCATCAAACTGCATCACGAGGCAAGCCCTAACTTGAAATCCTGAAGGAAGGCGGAAAAGAGGAAGGCCGAAGAACACATTTCGTCGGGAAATAGAATCAGATATGAAAAGGATAAATAACAACTGGAAGGAGTTGGAAAGGATTGTCCGGGACAGGGTTGGATGGCGAATGCTGGTGGGCGGTCTATGCTTTTTCACGAGGAGTAACAGGCGTAAGTAAGTAAGTAAGTAATAAGCGATATACGTGGTATTATGATAAAATAATTTACGGAAGCAATTCCACTATGTGGTAACTTCATTTTCAGAAACAGTCAAGTTGTATTATGTGAAATAATATGTGTATTCAGTTATGTAATGAATCGAAGTCATAGAATGTAATTTCCGTTTATAAACAAGATAATTCAGTGAATGAATTCTTAAACCGATGATAGTAAATAAAGCAATATAAAACTAAATGGAAAAGACACAAATATAACATGCAGATGTTTCAGTTCCCTTAATCAGTAAACTACGACAGGATTGTACGCTCATGTAACGGTTCACCAAGTTTTAATGAATTAACAGAATGTCACTAATTTTCACGTAGAGCGTGTTGGTTAAAGTCCAGTAAATAAAAATATACTTCGTTAATGAGTTACTATTTATTCTTCACAAAAAAAATTACACCTACCAAAATCAACTTGACTACATAATGATTATTGTAGTCATCTTCTAAACGATGGTTTTCAAAATCTGTAAGCCAAACAGCTATTTTTTTATAACTAAAATCCATTATTGATATTGATAGAGCCAGGAAAATCTAAATAATACAAATGTGAATGAAGTATCCATTGATGTGATTTTAAATTAGATTATAAAAATAAACATCCAAATAAAATTTAGAATGAACCAGCACAAAGAAAAAACATGAACTACAAAATCTTTTAGTACGATGCCTTTTATATTGTATGTAAATATATATATATATATATATATATATATATATATGATATAACAGAGGAATGTAGCTAATCAATCAGTGGTTTAAAGTCAAGTACCTATGAGTTAACATTTTTGAAAAAAATGTTTAAACGATCGTTAATTAAACAAGAATTGATTATTGTAAATTCACTATCTATCAGATAACATCCTACTCTTGAAATAATGAATGCTACATATAACATTTCAGTGTGAATATTAAAATTTTCGTAACCAAACTTACATCAGAAGATAAATTTTAAGGGAGACTTCACTGACTTCTTTCTACTAAAAATATCACGTCTGGATTGATAATAACGTTATGAGTCTTTACAAGAAAAATGAAAAGCGCACAGTAGAGTAGTCCTGTGCTAGGATGAAACAGCTGTCCATCACTTTCAGGCTTTTGATTATCGTCCAACTTAGACTGGTTCATGATCTCAACAGTCAGTCAGTAACAACGTCGGACTTCCTATGTACATACATCAGTTCGAGTTGCCACACCATATTAGCACAGAGATGCAGTGGTCGATTCAAATCCCGTAGTGGAAGAGGTAATAAGAGTATAAGCAGTAATCGGGAAGATTTGCGTTTGGAGATGTTATTTAAAGAGTATAATACAGTGAAACAAATTTAGTAAGAGAAAAAAAAGAGACAAGGAGGAATAAGGAGATCAAAATTCGGGAGAACACAAAGAGTGGATGCACCTGCGCACACCATTGCAAACGATTTTGGCACAGTGTTCGGACGTTAAAAGCTCCTACGTGTAGTTTAGAGCGTGGTTTCAGGAGACCAGGAATAACGTTCCACGTACTCGAATCGTTTGCCCTAGCAGTGCGAGGTGATAAAGGGACGTAAGAATTGTTAGTCTTGGAGATAAGAGAGGTATTGGTAGGTGTAGGAAGAATTTGAATGTGACCAACTTGGCCTCGTATGCTGTTACGGGTATGAGGGCTGATATCACTTCCCGGCTACCCACACCGTGGAAGGGTATTTCTTGAGGAACCTGGAAAGGAAGTTGGATTAATGTTGGCCTTAACGACCTGGGAGCGTGACCGCAGAGCCCAAGAGACATCTGCTTGAGGCCGGTCGCGCACGGCCTTTTCGTGGAAGGTTTTTAATGTGTTAGCTCCGTTCTTCAAAGGGCTTTACCGCCGGAGACGGGAATCCGTGAGGTAAGGTGAGGTGTGACATTTCTAAGGTCGACCTTTTCTAACCCCTTCCTTCCTTGTGGGAAGGCAGCATCGCTGCAGATGTTGGTTGTTCGAGGGAAACATCTTACTGCTGTCACACCCCTCTACAGTCAGCAATACGACTTCACCCTCAGACCTTGAGTTGCTGATTTTAGTCTTACCGTTCTCCAATCGACCTGCCTGGCATGGTAGAACCTACAGGAACATATGTTTCAGCCAATACAGCTCGGTTGGGTCATCACGATAGTCAAGCCCGACTACCGCGTCAAGGTAGCAGCTTCGGTCGGGATTTTAAAGCCTTATCAATCTCAACTATGTATTACAGTAAATAATAGATACACATTTTTTTATTCCATTCGGTATTCTTTAACTAGTAGATCTGACAGTATCCTGATGAAACAGAAATTCAGTACTCATTTTATCAACTGTCAAAAAAATCATTTATTTATATGGTACTTAATTTCATATAAATAAATTCCATATAATAAACAAATAATTAAATAACTTACCTTTGGTAAAGTCACCAATATAAAATTTGGTATAATAGATGTATTATTATCAGCATAAATATTCATTTTATCTTGTAATCGAACATACATTAATGTGATATAAATAACAATAATTAATGAAAGTAAAACAATAGGTGTAGTAATAAAGCATAAAATTAATAAACGTTTCCATTTTGAATAAGTACGTATAGGTCTCCCGGTAATTGGGCATAAAGATAATTTACCCTAATTAAAAAAAAGAAAATCAATAGGAACATATAAATGAACATTTTCAAATGTTGAAATACAAGATTACAATTTCATTATATATATACATATAGATTATATAATAAAGGAATTGAATATCTCAAGTAGGATATCTATGTAGGCTATTCAAATGGCGAAGATATGATATCTAGAAATTTGGAGTAATATCTTAAAATATATACCATTTAAATATTCAGTGAATTTCCCACGTTTCTTGAGTTAAACCGTACTTCTTTTCAGTGTTGCTTTGTGCCAGTAATCACATAAGGAATCTTATATTCATTAAAAAGACAGAGGAAAACGTTACACAGTTTATTTAAGTCTGACAAAACAGCTTTCATAAATATGCATCAGGCTCAACTACTCATACTTCACATCAGTACAGAGAGATAAAATTAACATGAGGTTTTCGAGTAACTTTCAGTATCTCTGTCAATAACTCAAGAATTTACTACTATGTGTAAAATAACTACGAATACCCTTGTACAGCTTTAAGAAATGATCTAGTCGAAAAGAAACCTTTTTATCAATCTTTATGTAACTTACAAAAAAAAGATTAACAAACAGTATGAATCATAAAATAATTAATGAATAATCAAAAGTGAAAATGAATGTCAAAAAACAAAGAATGATTGACCTGGTTCTGTTCGTTAAGTAGAGGCGCACAGAATCCATGTCATCAATGGTTGCATATGACGTGTGTACAAAGTGGGGTATATCTATAAATAGTCTATAATTAATTAGTTTCTCTGAAAATTCAAGTCAAACACCTAGTTTGAATATGTTTGATAACTGGAAATATGTATTTCATCGAAGATGTTATTAACGATAAGATGCTAAAAACTCTTTATAAAATATAATTTGAAATTATATTTTCTTGGGGTACAATAAAGCCATTGAGTTGTATGCATTTGATTTATGCGAATTACTTTATTGGAAAATCCATTGAGATTTAAAACGAAAGATACTGGGCTTTAGATGTAATGTAAACATTAACACTGAAATTCATTTAAATCCAGCTCATGAGTCTTAAATAGAACGAAACGTAGATCTTCAATTCAACTGTTAGTCACAATCCAATTATTCTATAGGATTTTATAGTTTGGATAAATGGATGATGATAATAATATAATGGAGGATAAAACGAAAATGATAATACTGATACTAGTACTAATACTACTAATAATAATAACAGTAATAAAAACGTCAACAGTAAGTGATAACAAAAGTAGTAAATAATAATGTACAATAATTCTTATTATATATATAACATAAAGAAATTCTTACTTTAAATAATGGTCTAGGCTCTTCTAATAATGAAATTGGTGTATCCCATGAACCCCAGTGATAAGCTAAAAATGAACTAGTCCTTTTCCAATGTTCCAGATATAGTGATGTCCATATTAAATTGATAATAGCCATTAATAAATAATAAAATGAAGAATTTTTCTGTATTTAAATTAAAAATTAGGTGTGTAAGAGAGAAAAAAGGAGAATTATATTCTGTCGAAAAGAAACTTGAGATCAAATAGATTAACGGTTCTTTTTCTGACTAGGTGGCTTTGTGAAAATTATGTGAAAATCGAAACCAATGCTTACTATAAACTGACGCTTCAGTTAAAGAAAAGTTTTAAAAGTACATCCTAGTCTCAAACAACCTAACAATCTAATTTTACAGTCAACCACAATATGGAACTGAGAACCTTCAGATCTCCTGGCAAAAACAATAAAAGCTTAGTACCTAATAGTTAATATGGTCTCATTCTGCCACTTGATAAAACAGATCAGAAGTATACGGTCGCATTATTGAGTTGTGAACTACAATTTAATGGTTTCTTAGTGGTTCTTTATTCGATATCCCCATGTATGGTGAAAACCATCTTTGAATTGTTTTCTAAAACCAATAGATTTGTTAAAAGATACCATTTAGAATCTTAAAACAGTAATAATAGTACCAATAATTACTTATTTATGATACAAATGATGCGTACCACATATAGAAGACGTGTTGATAGGACCAAATATTGAAATACATTACATAACATTTAACTATGTAAGTGAGTAGCAGTTTATCTATCTTTACGAAAAATGATACAAAGAAAATCTCTGTACACAGAACATTTTAACAGAAAATAAATGGTCTACAAAAAAATGTTTCATCAATAAAGAAGTCCTAGCCAAATTTCTAACAAATTGTGAACAGTCGATAAAATGAAGCTTTCTATACATCAAGTTAATATAACAACATTAAACACGTTTATTTCACTAATTCATAGAACTCTTGTTATATCCTAGTGAAAATTAAACTACGGGTAATTCTCGAGACCTATTAATGGACTAGTATTATATATATATTCCTATTGTATAACTGTTCAGTAATTAGATTATGTATATCTATATTTCCCTTATTATAAGCTTCGTTTTGACCTATAGATCATTTTTATACGATTTACTGTTCCTAAATTATGTTCAGTTTATCAACTACCGTCTCCCACGTTCATAGCCACTTTTTGGCTTGATCTTGTGTAGATGTTATTTCCTATTTTATGGTATGATGAGGTCTATTTGGCTGGTATATAAACCATGTATGTTTGAAATAAATGATTCACATAGTGGGACATGTTATTGGTGTTCTGGACTCAACTGGACGGGCTAGGTGAACAAAGGACCAATAAGGACGTTAGGCTGCTCATACCGGTCGAACGTCATTGGTTTAGCATAGTACAAGAGTGAATGAGTAGTATTTCGATTGGCTTAAAGTCACAACAGAAGAAAACAAGTTAAGGGACATATAACTGCCATTCATTCAAAAACTAACCTTAGAAATTGTAGGACTTATCCTATCAAATTAATCTTGTCATTTAATCAATGAAAATCAAATTACACTAGAGCGTTTTAAATGGAGGATCAACTTGTCAATACTATTAAATATCAATAAGAAATACATAATACCAAAAATCAATAATAATAATAATAATAATAATAATAATAATAATAACTTACGTTAGGATTAACAAATAACCAAACAGCAAGTCCAACAACTGATGGAAATATTAATGAATATGTATAATGGCCAAGCCATGCAAAATAGAATGCAACTTTTGTACCAAAATATTCTTTAATTTCATCTAATGGTTGTAGGACAACCCAACGACGAATCCAAATACTAGTTAACTTATTTAATTCACTTGGTTCGTGTAATGGAAATATTTGTAAGATAATACCAGCGGATTGAAGAGATGGAACTAAAATTAAATACAGAGTATTTTATGACAATTTTCTAAATCTCCGAATTATTATAAATACTATTTTCATCGGTTAAATACGTAAAAGAATATGTAAATCTACAATGACTTTATGGTTAAAACATTTGAATTTCAATCATTGAATTATAGTCTCGAATAGCATTACAACTGCTTCAGTTTGACCCACCAGGAAGTGCTGTTAACCCTAATACATATATAAACGTGTTATTCGGAACACGAATTGATTTCAGTTAAACAACTGTTAAGAAACTGGAAACATTAAACAGTTGCTCAGTTCTAGCATGGGACCATTTAGCGATACTGAGTGAAAATCTTCCAGTGTTTTCGATGAGTACCTTCTTGATCCTCACTAGTGAATTGTTTCGAGGAAATTTTCCGAGTTCTAGAGAGAAGCCGTGACCAATGACATTCTACCCTGTCATGTGCGAGGAAATCACCCACCGAAAACAATGGAAGATGGTTACGCAACATCGCGGATTGACTGAAATTAGACTTCTACGTCATCAGATGCGAACTCGGTCGTCAAGAGGTTAGGTGTTTCCTTAGAGATCAAAGGTCCTGCGTTTGATACTCGGCAAGGAGTTGTAGATGCACAATGCAAGGACGAAATGCCTGTCCAATGTTTGCAGGTTTCCAATGACCGTCTAACTTAGATCGATTCGTGATTTCAATAACAATGAATGATCACCATAACCTTATAGTGATAATTAATTAAATCATAATCGGAGTCCTGCTGTGTAGCCGTGGAAGATGAGTTAATCATACAGAGAGTAAGACAGTAACTCATTGAAGAAAACACATAAAAGGAACATCTACTTCAAGTGGAATCAGATTATGAAAAAAACTACCTTCATCAGTAGTATATTTTTTTATTTATTACTGAATCTCACCTTTAAAACAAAGAGATTAGTGGATTCAATATATGGAGAAACATGCAAATAAAGGAATTGTAAAAACACTAAAATACCGAAAAATTGTACCTACTTGGTATGAGATAGTTAATGTCGAAAAAATATTTGTTAGTATTTATCATAAGAATTTTCAGTATGTATTTATTTCATTATTTATTTATTTGAACACATAGATATTGGTACAAGGAGGGACCGAATACATATGCGCCACACAAATCTCATTTGATATGTGTGAGGGGTGATACTGCCCGGGTGCTCAGACAGAAGCGGGTGGTTTTCTTAGGGGCCACACTCCGAGCCTTTGACCTGAAGGTCTGATCCACAAGGCAGTGGAGCAACGTAAGAGATGCAGTCTCATGATAGACCTTGACCAATAATTGGTTCATACGCCATTTGTTCCTTCAGGATACTGGAGCCCATGTGCACCATTGGTTTGTAATTAGGGTTTTCCAACTCACCTAGGTGGACTCTTCGTGTCCGCCAACCCGGTTAAGGCACCGAACATTCACTTTTCATCCTCTCAATTTCGTACACAACAGTAATGCCACGAGAAGGCAGTGAGTAGGACTTCCCTGGAAGAGGCTATAAACGCGTGGCCATGTGAGAGCATTTATAAAAGGAGAGCGGACTCTCCCCACTATCAGACGTACCAGGGTATTTGATGAGATTGTTGAATTTCAGTAAAATCATGACCATCGTTAAAAATATAAAGGCACTGTATGGCCGTCTCGTAATAGTATGGGACTCCTCAACAGCACGCATCTACGACTCCATATGTATATTATTATTATTATTTAGTTATCTCACTTAACATTTGTTTGAAGCACAGTTTGATGAGTCATATAATTCTTAAGCTCAAGTAATGATGAATTTCAATGGTTTAGACATTCATATTAGAACCATTCAGTTGTACTTTTAAAACTTAGCTTTCTATTTATAAAGTTTTGAAAAGCTGTATAAAATCATTAACATAAGGATATTCAGTATGTCTAAAAACAGTATGCTTTTCAATTAAACTAAGTAATATTACACTATAAAGCCAATAATATTAATCTCTGAATCACTCAATTTGGCTTTTGGTAACGAATATTTTAACTTGTTGCGATGCGCTTTTTTTTAAAAAAAAGGGATAATAAACGAATTAGGGTAACATACTTAATTCAAAATAAGCTACATTGTAATGAAAAGTGATTCATCTTAATATCTGTCAAAAATCTTCACAGATAACATTTATGTTTCAAACAAAAACTTATGAACAAAGTATATTCCTTTGGAAAATCTCCTGTCAGATTTTATAGTTATAAATTCAGACTAATTTTTCAAATGAATAATCAGTTTTGAGGTGTTGTCTTCTATCTTCCCATTGTTATTTTAGGACTTAGTAGGTAAGTGGATAACGCGATGGTGTTTGAAGTGAACGGTACTAGGTTCGAGTCTCAAAGTGAACATCAACTCTGAGATGCAGGTATCTCCAGCTGACGAGTCCCAAATAGGACGAAACATACGCCCGGGTTTCCACTGCTAGCCACCATCCATATTTGCTTATAATATTGAATAAGGTATTTTAGATTGACATAAAAACAAATCATTTATAATAGAAAAATATGCCTAGGAGAAAACTATTTCTGATATAAATTAAATCACGGAACTTACTCATACATTGATCATTAGCAAATTTAATGGTACACATATCAGAATCTTCACGACAAGCACGTAAACTCATCAGAAAATGATGAACAATATTACTACGTTCACTGGTTGACAGAAAAAGTTTCTCATCCATTACATTATCGAATAAACTGAATTCATCAACTGAAAATTCACGTAAGCCACCACCATGTTCAGGTAATAGAGTCTTTTTAATTCTTAATTCTTCAGCACCTGTAAGTAGACTTTATTTTCAAAAGATAAACATTGTGAAAACATACTACTACTAGCTTTTCATAAATAAAGTAGTATGAAGTTTAGTACAACAATACGTTAGTGCATAAAATCATCAGAAGGAAAGATGGTGTACTTCTTTCGGTGATAAGACGTTTATTAATAAGTGTAAATAAATTATGATTTAACCGATAAGGTGTTTCACTCATTGAAGTTTGAATTCAACCACAGCATGTGGAGGTCCGATGCAGCTAGGCAATTTAGATTTCGTAAATGACCTAGCCTTTCTATTTAGTACACACTAACAAAGGCATGTCAAGACAACCATTGTATCAGAAGCTTCTACAACAGTAGACCTCGAAATACCCAAGGTTAAAAGCAACGTCTTCAAATGCAACAAATAGAACGCCAACCCAATCACACTTAATGGTGAAGCTCTGGAATAGGTGGAAACTTTCACATACATGAACAGCATCATCAATAAACAAGGAGGATTTGATGAAGACGTAAAGGTGAGAATCGACGAAGCAAGGGTCGTATTCCTACAATTGACGAACATATAGAACTCAAAACCACTCTCAAACAACATCAAAGTAAGAATCTTCAATACAAACGTACAGACAGTTCTACTGTATGGAGCTGAAACTTGGAGAACTACCATAACTATCATCAAAAAGATACAGGTATTTCTAAGCAGTTGTCGACGCAAGATACTCAATGTCCACTGACCGGATACCATCAGCAACAGTCTACTGTGAGAGAGAAAAAAGAGTTTCCAAATGAAGAGGAGATTGGGAAGACGGTGGAGGTGGATAGGACATAAATTACAAAAAGCATCAAACTGCATCACGAAGCAAGCGTTTACCTAGAATCTACCCAGGCGGCCTAATTTGCCCCCAAATGCCCTGGTACAGCAGAGAGTGAGGAGAGTCCGCTCTCCCTCTCGAAATGCTCTCACACTGCCACGCGTATACAACCTCTGCCAGTAAAGTCCTACTAACTGCCTTCTAGTGGCATTACTGTTGTTTACGAAAATGAGAGGACGAAAAGCGAATGCCCGGCGCTTTAACCGGATCCCAAACCAATGGTGCACATGGGCTCCAGTATCCTGAGGGAATAAATGGTGTATGAACCAGTCGTTGGTCACCGGCTTCCATGGGGCTGCATCTACTTACGATACTCCACTGCCTTGTGGATTAGACCTTTGGGTCGAAGGCTCGGGATGTGGCCTCCTAAGAAAACCACCTGTTTCGGTTTGGGCACCTGGGCAGTATCACAGCCCTCACACATGTCGAATGAGATTTTTGTGGCGTCTATGTATTTGGTGCCTCCTTGTACCAATATCTATGTGTTAAAATAAATAAATAATAATAAATAGAATCTTGAAGGGCAACGGAAAAGTGCAAGGTCAACGAACACACCACATCGGGAATTGGAAGCAGACATCAAAAGGATGGATAGCAACTGAAACGAGTGGAAAGGAGTGTCCAGAACAGAGTTGGATGGAGAATACTGGCGGGCAGCCTATGCTACTCCACGATGGGTAACAGATGTAATTAAGTAAAGTTAGGATTTCAATTCATTTGGTTTTTGTGAATTTACGCATTGTTACACTATGTAGTATTGATGGTCTAAAAGTGTTTAGTGATTAAACAATATATTCCTAATAACAACTACTTTAGCTCCATAAAGTTACGATAGTCCATAAAAATTGACTTAAAATGTGACTTTTTACAGATAAAGAATTGAACACAAGCATAAGCCTCAACTTTAATACTCATTAACACGTTTCTGAGGCGCCCATAATTAATCACTTGTTTTACAATATATTGTTTGGCTTTACAACCTATGATCTTGAAAATAATCACATCATCTTTAAGGGAGGTTTAGATTTAGTGAAGTTTTTTTCAGATTTTCCTGCACTGAAGCTTTCATGCTGAATGTTTTTAAATGACATTTTTTCAGTATAAGAGAAACATTTAGAAGAGCTTAACCATTCGTATTTGTAAATGTCTATTCTTTTATATTAAATTATCTAAATCAATGAAACATAAGGCGCAAAAACCTTGAGAATCAGTGCTACTAACAGAGAGTATTTGTTATTTCTTCCAGGTGATATACCCACACTAAGCACAATTCTAATCGTTTGAAAATATTCTTACCTTTTACATATGAACAAGCGAATTAACAAAACTTAAAACACTACATTTTCATTAAAATAATAATTAATTTTAGAATCATTTTTAAGACAATTATTAGTTTGAAAGTAAATAAGAATAATAATAACTTAAAACTGTTAAAAAGACTGAATTTATTAAAATCTTGTGTTGCCCAGGTGACAGTGGTTTATATCATGTGAACAATAAATTCAATATTTATTCTACAACTCAATAATGTAACCATTAATTACGTGTTTATTGTACTTATATATGCAATATGAAGAATTCAAAGCAATTGAACACAGTTTATGGTCAATTAATAAAAAATAAGTGGAAGAATGAATTAACTAAATAATGTAGACAATTAGAAAAATATTTACCTAAATACATGTACCCCTAGTTATACAACTTGATTGTATCACTAATCTTTACTTTTTTTTAGAAACAGAAACATAAAACTGAACTATATAAAGCAGATAATTTAACAATGTATAGTTTATATCAATAATCAGAAGTATAGCAACATGGATATAAATAAAATGATAGAGAAGACTTGAAGCTCAGATGTATGCAATTGGCAGTACTGTATTCTCTGAGCAAGATGATTTGATTTTGAAACTTTCAATGTCGTTCCGGACATATTCCAAACCTAATGCATGTGAAAGTACGCTTCCCAAATATTCATGCAGTAGAGCCACTACAATAGAATTCATTTAACAACTGACTTGCTATTATATTTTTAACCATAAAACAGAACTTTCTCAGGTGAATGAGTGCATTTGTAAATCATACAAAACAAACTGATAAATAGTGTGAATAAACTCCAGCAAATCCCCATTGAAAATAGCCATCCCTTAGTTTTATTGACAGGAAATTGAAGTTAAGAACAACAACATGAAAGATCTCGTACAGTCAGTACAAGATTCTTCCCATGAACATTAGTTTTTAATCGGATATTATATGAGAGATCTTGAAAAATAGACTTCCGAAATCTTTAAAAGAAAGCATTAAATCCTGCTGAGCTTCATATTTTCTTTTCAATTGGCCTATGACTAATATGTAGAAGATGAAATACTGTTTTGAGCCACATAAATGTCTAACCACAGATTTGTGGAAGAGATTACATCAAATGCACGAGTGAAGTGTTTTCTAAATGCATATCTAATCATTACTCTGTTTCTCTGTCGGTAAAAGAATACAAGTTAGTCAATGGTTCAATATTTGAACACCTTATTAATACTGATTACTTTGTCACACCTTATGATACAGTACTGCTAAAATTTTTAACAAACTACTATATACATTGAATAATCGTAAAATAGGTTTTACAGATTGGATCAACTATATTGCCAAACAGATTATTTTCTACTTTAAACCATTTTCATTTCAAATGATAAGTTGGACCATTTTTACATACTTAACGATTTAGTTGGAATGGAAATAAACACTATTTTTAGAAAAGCTGATTCGTATAACGAATCCTTCAGATTATGACAATAAGCATAAATGACATAATAACAGATGAACCAAAAGAGAAACAAGAATTCGAGACTTTTATTTATGCATCAATAAATTTTTGTTCAATATAGATCATTTGGATACAGTTCTGTGATCAATTAACATACAAATTCTTATGAGATGCATTTCTTAGTTTTTGCTCACTTTCAAGACAGTGAATTCATTTTGATCTTGATAGTCAAAATGTCTTGATGTACTCTGAACAACAATATTGACTTCTCATTTACATATTACTATCAATCCATATTACTTATATGAATCTCATTGTGAGGAAACCGACTATATTGATCTTACATCAGACAAAATAAATGAATAACAGTTAAAAAGTGGTTTAATAAATATTGTGCATGCTCACTGATGAACTACTCAACAATTTTATTATTAGTTCAAACTGAACTTAATATTGTTTAATTAGGTAATATTATCATATCTTACATAAAGTTTAATTTCAAGCTTAATAAACGAACATTTACTCAGTTATTTAATTGCATCATTAATCATCAACAATTCTTTTTATCTACCGAAAAAAAAAACAAAGATAATTATATCTTCCATAGAAATCTTATTTAGAAAACTAGTGTAATCACGAGATTTAACCATTTTAATGATCACGTTTACTAATTTAGTAGTTATTAAGGTTTAAAACAGTTTGAGAATCAAATTTATTCACATATTGGTTGACTAATTACTGAAACAAATCAAGATTAGAAAAATCATCTTTCTTATTTGAAAGAGTTAAGTACACTTGTGGATTAATACCCGAATGTATTTGATCACAAAATATGTTTACATAATAATAAATGAATAGTTAAATCTGCTTCCTAAATTTTGGCGCAAAGGATTTGTGTATACTTGAAGCCTTATATGTATTTGTGGTCTGATATTTTGAAAGAATGACTACTAAGTAATAACCGATGTTTAGCTTTTGTTTCACATATTATAATTTTTCAAGATACTAAGTGCTGCAAATGTAACAACAAAAATGATTTACAATTTAGTCAATGAATTTTTAGGCTCTAGATGATTTCTATTTGTTATAAATATTGTATGATAGTAAAATGTTATTCTGCTTTTTTTTTATAGACAAGAATGTAAAAATACTGCATTGTTTTTTTTACAAAAACAATCAAGAGATCAGTTTTGTTGATCTTTTTTTCGCTCTTGAATAACCTATAAAATAATCAAAAGTATATTACAGCGGTTTTATCACATTTATGTAAATGAAAAAGTGTTCGACACTCAGTCATTTGGTTGGAATCTATAAAATAGTTCCTACAAGTTGTGTTAGTTTGTTAAACAATCACTTATTTTAATTTATTTTTGCATCGATTGCTTGAATCTTCTCATTGATATTTAATATTGCAACTGGTCAGTCTCTTACTGGCATGTGTGTATCCTGTGCAGATTGCCTCGATATTGCCATAAATGACAAGCATTATAGGCAGAAGTAGATGGTGGCTAGCAGTGGAACCCAGGACGCGCGTTTCGTCCTGTTCGATACTCATCATCTGGATGTACCTGTATCCAGAGTTGATGTTCACTCTGAAATTCGAACCCAGTACCGTTCGTTTCAAACACCATCGCGTTATTCACTCAGCTACTGAGTACAAATAGCCACTAATTATACAAAACTATCAACCTTTCTGGTGCTTTATTAACCGATATATTTTGTTCAGCATATTTATCACTAACTGAAAATTTGTAAAAACGTTGAACTCCAGAATAATAGTGTCTTGTTTAAAGTTCCCCGAAGGATCAGAACAGTACAAGGAAAAGAATTCAGTAAAAGTTATACAAAGTAACTAAACAAAAAGGTAATGGGATATGGGAAAAGTGTAACTAGAGTGAATTGGTGATCAATGTCGGAAGAAGAACAAAAAACTATACATTTACTGCTACTACTATCAAATTTAAATGTACATCTCTTCCGACTTAAAAAAAATTGATTTTCGCCATTTTAGAAAATATGAGAAAGTTCGAATCTATAAACTAAACTCAATTCAATAAATAATACCATTTCATGGACCAGCCTTTTGTTTTATATTGACTACAATGAAATTTTGGTGGGTTTTTTCTCTGAGCTGGATGGTTTGGTCGTGGAGCTTTCATCGTTCTTCTGAACGACATCATCAGCACAAACTTCAAATAGAAGTTTGAATTGAAGTTTGTGCTGATGATGTCGTTCAGAAGAACGATGAAAGCTCCACGACCAAACCATCCAGCTCAGAGAACAAAACTCCACCAAAATCATCCACCTGAGCTACAAATCTTCTCCACCACTACAATGAAATATAACACATCAAGCCTAAACAGTGATATAGTCCAATTAACTTAGCTTATGCCAAAATGCCATCTCCCCAATCAGTTTATATTAATCACATTAAATCAAGATAATTTAATTCTTAATTCTACAAAAGCAAGGAAATATTTTGAAAGGATTAATGATCAATTATCAATTTATATTGATTGATATCTTATAAATCAAACTCCACAGACCAACTTGTTATCTTATGTATATTAAAAACAATTTATTAAAATGGCATCAGAAATGAGAATTATTGTTTTTACGTTTTAAATTCAGGCAGAAACTTTAATATTTTTGAAAAATTCGATTAAAATGATTGCATTCACTTTAAGCTATAAGCTAATTAACATTGACTCACGAAAACATTTATTAAATAATAACTGTAAGTCTGTACTTAAATTCATATATGTCCCCATAAAAATAAAATAAAGCATAACTGTAATGAGTTAGGTATGATAGATAAAAGCGAACGGATCACGTGAAATGAACTGGGTGAACTACAGTAGACTTTAATCATGAAATTCGTCACCTGTCCTGATGAAAGTAAGTATTTGATTTAAAACCAAACATTAAGCCTAATATTAAGTTTTGGGAGTGATTATGTATATAATTAGATCAACTTCAATGGAAAAATACAGTGTTACCAAGACGACAGCGTCATATAAGGGAATTATCAATATACGGATATAAATTTTACACCTAGATATCAACTATACGAGGTACTTAAGAAATAAATCCAACTTACCCCCTATACGAAGCAGTTAAATAAAGCGCATACTGCCTTGATGTGCGATGAAACTGTTTATGTATAACCAGTTGAGGTACACGATTATTAATAATTTTTATCAGCCAGTCAACAATCTCTTCAGAAAGTTCTGTTTTAAATATTACTACAACATCACAGTCTGTAGATGGTACAGTTGACAGACGTCGCCACTTTTGTGTACGATTTATAACATTTTTGCTTGTTTGAGTTACTTGTTTTTGTAAATCAGCTAACTTCTCTATAATGTAAAAGGTAAAAAGAAAATTACCCGTCAAAATGTAGGGTTGATCAGAAGAAACGAGACATAAATAAAGAGTTATTGGAAGAGTTATTTATATGTGAACCAAGGAACTTTGATCCAAAGGTTAATAAATAGAATGGATATCATTCGAAAGGCAATTTTCCTCATCGTTTAAACGCAGTCAAACATCTACTACAAAATTTGAAAGATAAGGTGAGTATTTAAATAATACTTGGAGACATACATTATTGATGGAAATCAGGAACTTAACGTTTCAGTCCGAGCACTCCAGTCTTTAAACTACTGACCGACAGTATCAAGAGTTTTATTTTAAAGGATCAACTTGACTAGCACGTGGTCTATCTTCCAAATATTTATTTCTATTTTTCATATACCCTTTTATTTAGCTGTCTGAATTTTTAATACATTCAAATAACATTTCAATCAAAAAGTACCAACGTGAAGAACAAGATACGACAGTTAGTCACAAAAATTTGAAGTTATATCTAATAGAATGAGAAGTTGTATGCATGATCACAAAAATAGGCGAATGAAAATAAAGGAAATTTTTAGATTCGGAGAAATATTGATAATTAGTGCAGTTGCATATATTTCCGAAGCCTCATGCTTCTTTTTATGTTCAAAAAAATTTGGCGACAAACGTAATGGATTTATAACAAATAGTTTTGAAAGGTTGCATAGTGAAGAGGATGATCTAGGAAGAATAAAGTGTGGGAACCACAGATGAAGGGTTATACCTTGGAATTTGTATTGAGATGACCTAGATAAAATAAAAGGTTAGAATTTAGACAAGAAAAGCAGATATTAAAGTAGGAAGGTAGAGGGTTAAGGACCGCTGATGATTTATCAGTATTAAAAGTAGTATGAGGTATTTATTGTATCTGTACGAAATGAGCGAGCAAAGTGCTTCGGGCGTCATTAAGTTTATCATAAACAATTGAATACCCGTAGCTAAATTGATTAAGTCAAGTATGGATGTCTGAAATCAGCATATGGAGAGGGTAGTTAGACGTAATGGAAGAGGGATGGATAACAATACCAATTTTTATGAAGAAAGAAGACATTCGGTGGTCCGGTGATATGCAAACAATCCTTTGAAAAGACCTATGGCCGAACACAAGGGACCTATGCATGTTCTATGCCTTTCGAACCCAACATCTATATTCACAAAGCTATACAAACTGAAGTGTTATCCAATATGCATTGACTTCTATCGGTTGAAAGATATCTTGTCTGAGTCGACAATGGCTTATATTAGCAAATATCAAGCGAGTTGACTTTGTGTGTGACAAGATTTTACCAGTTATCAGTTCATCAAGGCAGTTGGGTACATAACACATGAGTTGTCAATGCACCCGACTACTTCAATTCTGATAAGACTAGTGATGGAAAGCAAATGAATCCAAAACATCCTTGCATCATTAGTCGACGTGTTTGAAAAGTTCCATATTTATTCATCTGACGTCACATAGACAATAAAAATAACCAGAATGACTTAACATTCGTGCATCTTAAGATTCATCAGTGATTCATCGTAATCTCCTAAATATAGGTATAGGATTAGTTTTGAATGGACAAATCGGACTGAATTCCAGTTAACACCGTGATAAAGTGAGGTAATAAGCACCCAGGAGGGCAAAGACACATTGTGAAAATTACTCACATTTTTTTCTTATGCTCTCACTGATACCCTTAAAGATAGATAAGCGGGGCTAATGGTCAAAAGATAATGAAGATGATGGCTAGCCCAACGTGATCCATTTTAGGGGCCCTTAATCTAACACCAATCGGATTGTATGCTGATTTTCACTGAAATACACATATTGCCAATCCTCGTATATAAGAACGGAATTAAACAAGTCAAATACGAGAATGGATTTTTGAATAGGTATATTTCGTACAATCGTTGATCGGAAAGCGAAGCGAATCGGAATAACACACAGTGAAGAAGGCATGTGAGCGAATATAATTTAATCAAGCATTAATCGATATTTATAGTCAGGTAAAAATAAGCTAAAGGCATGTGATGAGAAGAATAAGATGTGCACACACACGCTCATATAAAAACAGTTAAGGTTGATAAGCGAATAATTGGCAAGGTAAAAACGTGACTCAAGAAGAATGAATAAATTGGCCTGTCTGTAGGCTAAAATAAGTTATGGGGGATTAACATAGCGACCGATGTTACATAAGAACGATCTCGGACTGGTGATCATCAGTCTTGTGTTTCACCTCTTCGTTCCGGTGTTCGTCTTCCTATGCTAATGAGGTGTGGCAACTTGGACCGATGCATGTATGTGCCTAGTTCTACGTTGTAACTGACCGACCTCTTCGTTCGAGGCTGGTTAGTGTTGGGTCAGTCGTCAAGCGCAGAGTAACAGTCTGCTCGTCCTTGTCGCACGCTGGTTACATGTGACCGTCCTTGATTAACAGTCGGTCATAGGGCATAACAATTTCATTACGACTCCAAACAATGTTATTCGAAATATGTCACAATATTAGGTAATAAACTTACTATGGCACTCATCTAGAATTGTCATTTCTCAGAGATTCACCTTAAAATGCAGCATATTAAACGGTTTGTCGTTGTCACTCTGAGTAACAGATTGAAAAATACAGAAAATAAAGTAGCACCAGTCGCAATAAAAAATTTAAACTCATAGACAATTAGATGATAAACAATTTCGGTATATTGAGTAAGACTTCAATGTGTAAACAACAAAATTGCAAGAGCGATTTACTAATAAGCTTTATTTCTACGACAAGTACACAAATCCAAAAATAGAAATTATCTCATACGCCATCATGCTGAGTGAAAATAAGTCAGTCTGTATAGTCATACAATGGTTTAAATTATCATACCACAGACTACCACGAAAGTGATTAACGAAATACAAAAGTGCCGGACAATCTGCTATATATTTATTTATATGTCAGAGCTGAAATAAACTAGTTGGCTAGCGCTAGCCACTGAGATACACTTCTTCATAACTATCTCCAAGGAAAGTGTGAGTCGCAGCTTAATACATGACCTTGGGGTGTTAAACGTTTATTATCAGCTGAGGATACCACGTATACGTGGTATATATGGACTAAAGTTATTCGTTAAGTTGGCACAACAAAACATCTTTCATATTTGTTGATGAAACAACAATATCTGTAGCACTGCATGCAGAAAAAGCTACCATAACTTAATTACCTACAAGTGGACTTTAGCATACTTTGTATTTCGACCCTCCTGACAATTTTGTAAAGACGTCTTTAATGTGGTTGAGAGTAGACTAATAAAACTATCGTGTAATCGAATGAAACCATACACCTTTTAAAAATGCTGATCAAATAAACGACGAATACACCTTATAAGAATAATAATGTAAATTCCTCAATAACTACCAAGTGTAACTAAATATATTCACATAAAACCATACCAACTGCTACAAAGTCACCGCATTATTTGAAAAACTGCTAAGGTCGATTTCGGAACAAAGTTTTGTAACGTAGCTAATACAAACTTTAAAACTTTTACATCGTCAGCGTTTACTAACATTGAGGACTCAACTATACTTGGGAGTTCGTTTACCTAAAGTATAAAACGTAAATGACCTGTACAAAATCTTGAAGTAATCCATTAAGTACTGGTTTCCAGGATAAGCATTTGGAATCTATTATTGCTCACCAAGAATTCCTTAGTCTTAAGAAAAGTCCAATAATTCCCGGATTTTCCAGCTTCAAGAGTAATCTATTTTTCAGCGCCCTAACAAATGCTTTGCTGAAGCCTGTGTAGGCAGCACTAATTAATTATCTATTATCCAGAGCTTCTGTCCATTTCCCTCCTGATATAAGGTTTGTCGTACAGGATAAATGTTTTCTGAAACCGTGGTGCTCGTTGTTTAGTAAGTTATTGTTTTTCACGAATGTCATTATGGTCTTCTTGACTATTCTTTCCAGTATCTTAACTACAACACTGGTGAGGCTGACAGGTTTGTAGTTTAATGGAAGTTGTCTTGATCATGTTATATGTATTAAAGTAACGATTACATCCTTCCAGTAGGTGGGTACACAACTTGGGCGAGTGACATATTGACTATCACATTTAGTAGATCTTCAGTGTATTTTGTAATTTGTTTCAGGATTAGAAGATGTAGTTCATCTGGTCCTGTTGAATTTTCTTGCCTAAAGCAATAAGGGGCTTCAGTACATCGTCTTGATCTAAGTCTATTGTGATCAGACGGTTCGTTAACATTGTATTTGAGTTTAGTGCTTCATCCAGAAGGAGCTCATGAGTGAAAACTGTCTCAAAATAGTTTGCCATAGCCTCAGTTTAGGTCCAATCCCTTCCGCGATTAGGTCGGCAATCCAATGATGCGTCCTTGTTCAGTAATTTGTGCTAGAATAGTCTCTTAAGCTGCTTCATTGAAGAATGTGCCAACTGAATTTCATATTTTCTTTGTACTTCCAGGATTTAATCAAACACTTGTTCCTTAACGTCCTGTACCGTCGTACTTGCTATGCCGAGGCTGATGGCAATGTTCAAACATTTATTGTTTTGTCTTTGTAAATGTTGAATATCCTAGACTATTAAGGGATGGCCGTACTTCTTCTTCTTTTTTGGGACTGCCCAGGGTATATATGGTTTAGTTACCTGATTGTATAACTGCTTGAAATGTGTGCACGCCTTTTGTATTGATGCCCCTGAGTTGATTTCCCATTTTTCAGCCAATGCTGCAGAGTTTATCTCCTACGTACCTGCCTTTCATATGTTAGGATGGGCCGGCACAACTAATTGAATGTCCATCTCAGCCATGAATTTGAATAAGATAACTGTATGATCGCTTCTCCCTAGAGGTTATAGGAAAGTCATTTGTGTGATGACTAAGTCCAAGAAAGACGAGGAGCTACGCAATTCATGTTTGATAGGATCTCATATAGAGATTTAATCCGAAGGAGATTCCAACCAATATATGGTATGTTTCTGCAGTGTTGCCTATCCTTATTTTGAATTAAAAAACAAGGGTTAAAACCATTCGTTACTAAAGTGAAGTTAGCGACCTAATGACCACCTCGGCTTTAAAGAATGATGGTAAAATGCCAAGTGACTTTGTTCTTATTCCTGTAGCACTATGAAGATAAAGTGTCACCTTTAACTTATTACAAGGTCCGATATCACTCTTGAGTGGTTCGTGATGGACACAGAGTTGCTTTATGTAGTGTGGGAGCACGCAAACAGTGTGTGAAGGCTGGAAAATAGGACATAAGAAACAGTAAATCGACGACTCAGCAAGTGAACACAATACACCTACATTTAGTTCAGAAAGCAATAGATAACGGTCGGCAATAAGGCGAGTAAATCCTGAATCCACCTTAAGTCTATTCACATAGGTGATATCATATTTGGCAGACTTCATTTCTAATGATCATCAGTTACTCGTCACTTTTCTCCGCGATAAAAACGTTTAAGAATCAAACAAAATTCATTTAATTATCCATGGATGTTGGTTTTATGTTTTACATTTGAAAATCATATCGAAAAACCGTCAGCCAATCCAAAGTTTATAAATGAAAATTTGTACTAATTCAGAGGAGATCTTTGAATGAACATATTTCTGTTTTCAAAGCTCTTAGCTACTATTAATCATCTCAGTTTAGTTGTTCAGTTATCATACAGAAGTTCGTAGAACGTTTCATTAGTGAACAGGTCCAAACAGAACCATTGTCTAAATAAAAAGGGAATGAGGGAACTTTCTAAAACCTGAAAAGGTTTTCACAGTATTTGCTTTTTAAAAGGCAAATCATTGTGCTTTAACTTTATTATTCCACGTAAACAAGGTCAAAACCACATAAAGTAAATTGTAATTTCAAACACTTTTGTTCAAGTCCTAAATTACGAAAGATATCATACTTAACTTTTTCAGCTTTTCCTGGTGCCTCTTAGGAATTCCGGTGTTTCTAACTTTTAAATAGTAGGCCACTGAGTTTTATATATTGATACCCGGCCATTCTATAAGGAATAAGTAGCACTGTTTTTTCCTTATTTTAAATGAGATCTTGTGCGATAATTTTGTGTCATGCTACAAAGTGACATATACCTTTGATAGGAAGAAAATACGTGGCTTTTTGAATGTAATACAATACATCACGAATTGAAACGATTGTGTTTATGTAAACGAATATTATAAACTTTAATTTGCATAAGCTTACCTGAAAATGGTTTCAAAGGATTACTTCTGTGGAACTCCACGAACATTATATTTTAAAAAAATACTTTTTTGTTCAATTTAGTATGTCAGATGTGAGCTCATTCTTAGACTTAATATAAACTCACCTCTTTCCAAAAGAATCAGAAAGTAAGTCACATTGTTTTTACATCGATGACACGTTCATCACTGTCGATCAGAGCCTCAGTAAATAACTCTCAATTCAGTTTTACAGTGTGCGCTAGGCAATCAATTTCATTGATGTATACGAGTGTGACGGTAAATTTAATTTCCTTGATATCTCAGTTAGTGGATAGACGAGTTGTTTATCAGAAGAAGGCATAAGAAATATTATTTTGTGTGTCTCAACACCCACACTCATAGTTTTACATACATTCGCTTCAAAAGCATCTGGTTACGTTTTTTTAAGCAGAACAAAAAACATCTTGATAAAGTAGTTTAAGTTTATTGTTCAACATTTCACGGAACATGCCACTTACTAAATTTTCAAAGAACCATATGTAGAATCAATTAGTGAACACTACTGGACGAATATGTAGAAAATACCTTTGTTTGTTCTTTCTTATGACCAGCCCTTCGAACTACCGTAGTATGTGCTGTTTTTGTTTTATTGTGTGTATTTTGAGACTGATCGTAGCTGTCATGACTAAATTGCTTACTAATCCCGAATTATATTGTTCCGAATCATTTGAATTATAGTACGAACTAAGGGTCCCAGAAATAATGCGATTGAATCAAGAAGTACTTGATAAGCACAAACGAATGTACTGTATTTAGAATTCGAAACCAAGTACAAAAGTATCACTAGTTCATTCAAACACCACATCCGGCCCGGCTTAATTTAGAGTCTAAGTGATTGTAGTCCACTGTACGTCTTCTTAAGTTCATCCTGTGTCTGTCCGACAGTGTATTGGATAAAAACTCTGTAGTATCTAGAATGTGCTCATTAGTACTGGAATTAACAAGCGAAATCGGAACAGGTTCACCTGCTTCCCGGGATTGTGTAATCAGCATGTCGGTTGTGTACTGAAACCGCTGCTACCTAGAACTTGAACCATAGACTTAGACTATCCTCCCCCATGAAATAATATTGGATCTTAATATTCGCAATTTATGAATCATGTGGCTTCATTTAGAACATATTTTTCACATTGGCTAGAGTAAACATTAGAAGTGTTTTTGTGATAAGGATAAACAGCAGTTGATATGAAACCCTCTGAATTGTAATCAAAATCGAGCTTATTTATTACTTGTGCTTCGCACTAAACAAGTTCCTCACAAGAAACAAATGCATTAAAGGAACAAATAATAATTGATATGGCATCAAGATTTGATTCTTCTGAAATAGTTCCCTTAAATTTATTAAGAATGTCATCGCAGAGTAAAGAATCATTGGAAAAATCAGCATCTATCAAAATCACATCAGGTTTTCAATCACAATTAGATTCATTCAACATATTTTCTTCAGATTTGTAAGGAATTTCATCAGAAATATGTGAACCATTAGGAAGAACCATATCTGGTACAATAACATGAGAAATTTGACAAATTGATTGATCAGAAACTGTTGTCTCGCATGGATTCTGAGTTTCATTTAACTGTGAACTGCTATATGACTCTACACTGTCTATTGCAATCGTTGATAAAGATAAATGATCATTATGGACACTCAACTTAATAGAATCAGAATTACAAGACTTAATAATAATAATAATTTATTCTCAAATAACAGTTTGTTACATGAGGCATGCCAGTTTACAGGCAAGATCAAATTGATACAAATGATACAATATACAGTGTAATAAATTACATAGCTGAGTTGATAATTTATAAGATATGAATGTAGATGGTTTTAATCAGTACCACAGTTGGCGCGCTTCATGAAAGTTGCGTTGCGAATGTGCGACTGATGTTCCAGGATAGGTCCATTGAAGGTATGAGCTTTTAGAAATCGCAACCTTATGTCTCTTTGGGATATCCAAGGCTTTAAGGATGGTGCAGGATGAAGTCACCAGTTCCATATCTCAAGGGGGCTGAAAGAGAGAGCAAGTAAAAAAAAACACCAGAGGCAGAGTAGCCAATATTCATGAAGGAATGTTTAAGGTATGATTACTCAGTCTAATTTTCCTTTAAAGTATATGTTAAGAAAGAGCATTATAATAGGTTAAAGAAAATAAGTGTTGACAAGGTGTGAGTGGACATGCAACTGACAAATGGGGGTGATTCGGAAAAGAGCTGACAGTATAAGATTATGTGTGATTATAAAATAAATT